AAGAGAGGTGATAGCCGGCGAGCTGGCGGCAGAGCCGTTGACGTTAAACTCCACAGACGAACAGATCGATGCTCGAGTGCGTGAGATGGCAGGGTAAGTGACGCCTTTCTGCTGATGGAGGCACCTTTAATAACACATTTCATAGGGGATGTTACCATCCTGCAGGCACAGCCTCCATGGGTACTGTTGTGGATACAGACTTGCGCGTTATTGGGGTGTCAGGCCTTCGTGTTGTTGATACTTCAGTGTTTCCTGTCTCGGTCTCGGCTAACCTACAAGTGGCTGTCTACGCTCTGGCAGAGCAAGCTGCCGAGATCATTGGATCCAACATGAAGAAATGCTAAGCTGATCGCGAGGATGGGATTGGAGGTATACTATAATACGTTTTAAAAGCCCTAAGCGCTTTGATTGAGACATCACTCAGTTCTCAAGCTATTTCACTATAGTTCAAAGAAATATAGACGAAATCTCAGAAGGCTAATTTTGTTCAATTAATATAGCAAGTGCATGTAGCCTAAAGTCTCATGTTCATCGTCGAGTTCAACTCTCCAAAGCGGATGTTGCTGAACGTCACCTCAGGGTTGGCCACGATTGAGGTGATGACGGAGGGGTTGCCCTCAGTAGCGTTGCAAGGGCCGTTGTTGCCCTGGTCAAGCCACTCCATGAAGGTCGAGTCATCCCACCACAGGCTCATGGCCAGAACCATACCACGCGACATGGCACCGCCCATGACCTCCATACCACCCAACCGCATGAAGTCAGAGGCACCGGTGGCCTGGCAATACTCGTCGTTCATAAAGTTGATCTTCGGGGGTCCCTCGATGTTGACAACGTTGTTCTGGATGACCTTGCCGTCCTGGACGTACATGCGGCGGAGCTCCTTGAGTTTGCCGTTCTGGGCGGGGAACTGCGTGACCACGGTGAACTTGCGGGTAGTGTCAACCTTGTAGTCAGTACCGCGGCCGTAGAAGTCGGTCACGTTCACGCGGTTGGCGTTCCAGGCGCAGCCGGACTTATCGCAGACTCCAGCCTTCGCGCACTCCTCGCCGGTGCACTTGTAGAGGCCGGGCTGGCTGCAAGGGTGAGGGGCGATGTGAGTTGCACGGGAGTTGGCCTCCCAAATGTCAAGTTCATTGCAGCAAGAGCCCTTTTGCTCAAAGTTGCCCTGATTCTCGTGTTAGTAATGTGTCGTGTCGGGCGAGGAAAGCAAGAGGACTTACAACTCCGTTGATGAAGGAGGTCTTGAAACACTGCGCATCGCAGTAGCCAGTGCCCCACGCGGGACCAAGCTTGTTCAAGGAGCTTGTGTTCTTGCCACCGTCCGGAAGCATCTCGGACAGGTAGAGCGCGCTGTTCATGCCACAGGGCAAGTTGACCATGTCGACATCGAAGCTGAACTCGGATCCCGTGAGCTGGATCATCTCGTAGCGCTGCTTGTTCTCCTCCAGCAGGTAGATACGGGGAGAAACTTTTTGGTTGTCGGCATTGAACATGGTCAGACGAATGTCCGTGCCGTGGGTAGTGACGCCCTTGGTGCTGTAGTCGGCAATACCCTGGATGTGGCAGTTGGTCGCACACTCCTCGGGAGTGGTACAGGCAGTGGAGTTGGGCGGGTTGTTGCCGGTGAGGCAGCTCACGCCGCTAGAAGTCTTGATCTGATGCTGGCTCGAGTCGACGACGAGGTAGTTGGTCTTCTTCTGGCAGCCATCTTTGACGGTGCAACGGAAGGTTTCGATCTTGGGGTGTTCATCGGTAGAATTGCCAGGCGCCTGACCGGAGACGAGGCTGGCGAGAAGAAGAGTAGCGGAAAGAATGGAAAGCGCCATGACGGGCAAAGTGCAGATGCTGAGTTGGTCAACAAAGTGCGAAGAAGGTCAAAAAGGAGTGACTTGAAGTTGAGAGAAGCGAAGCTTATGCCGAACTAGAACCATCTGAAGTCCCCAGCGGCAGCAACGTCGAGCTATATACTTTTGATGAACAGCATGACCGTCCCATTCGAAACGGAACAGCCTCTAAAATCATCAGACTGTTTCAACCCGTCAATTTGGGTTCGGAGACCCCATGAGGATCCATCTCGAGTATTCCGAGAAGCTTTCGGGGTTCGCTGGTTGATTGCCTCAGGGGCTAAAGGGGCCACTGTGACTATATGCAAGGGGCTTAGGATGTGACAGCAATTGCGGGCAGTAGCCTCAATCTAATCTCTCTATCAGAGGCGGCTCAAGTAGGACATGTGCAGGAGTAAACTTTGGGGACAACGACAGCAATGGCGGACATTGGAGAATAAGAAAGGACCGAACGGTCGGGGATGGAGCATTGGGCACTTGGGGGCCATGATACCCGAAAGGTTGTCAGGGACTGCCTGGCCTTTGTTTCGGCAAAGTGGGATGAGAACCAATCTTTCTACGGATGAATCCGTGTCTATCGCTCCCAATTGTCCCAAATTGGTGTTTCCTTTCCACAGTTTACCGAACAAGCGCGGTTTAAACTTTCCTCCTGTAACAGAAAAAGGGTTTCGCAAAACTCTATCGTTAACGAAGCATTGCCTCGCAGGGTCACCTACTTTAGCGGCATTATATACACGAATCAGAATTAATCTAGTCGTTGACAACTATCCACGCATCCCACACTTGCCGGCGGCTACATCGCTCAAAGCTCAGGTAGGTGTAAAGTCAACTACCCAATCTCCGTCCCATGTAGCAGAGTAATAACTTCCAAACAGGAGATCGCAGTTCGGGCGTTGCACCGAATCGCTCGCAGCGAGCCCGAATACTCGGTACGTGAGAGTTAATGCTGCCGACTTTACATCTACTCGAGTGTATAACATGACTGGCATACGCGGACATATCCAGCTACGGCGTCCGTCCGTACTATCTTCGACCACCTGTAGAGATCCAGTATATTGCATCTCCCATAGCTCCTACTCTATCGCGAGGATCCATCATACAAGCTCAAAGATTCGCCATTTAAGTAAGTAATCTTACGCTTAGAGTTCTCTGCACGATAGCCTTCACTTCTTGATCTACGCGGCAGGCTTACTCAGAACTGACCCTAGCTCCCGGCTTGGGTGCGGATCTGGCCTCTGCCCCGGTGTTCGCGGCGAACTCAGATCAACTGGATGTCCTGACTTAGCATTGCTGATGAGAACTGAGTTTCTTGGCTCGCGGATAAATTACGTGTAAGTTACTGGTAAGGTAGGGCCAGGGGTTTGTCACACTTGTGCTCCTAAGTCCCCGTTGAAGCTGCGGGGCCCGCAACGTAAGCGGACTTTGCTAGTCGCGGCAGCTCCGAGGTGCTTTTATCGATCTCCGCGTGTCATAGCGAAGTGGTATAATTCTGTGACTAGAGTGATATCTGGAATCTGGCGAGCATAAGAAAGTGCTGATGCATATTTATCGACGATCTTCTCGATTTTGAGCAGATGAAGAAGGCTGGAAAGCATCATCGTGAGAATTGATCGATCCTGTGAAAAAATGTCAAGCCGCTGCGACGCCACGAGTCAGACACCAGCTTTGCCATAAAGAAACAGGTATCAAACCTGGTGGCGTTTCGTTTCGAGACTCTTGGATCTTCGCATGCATACGCAGGCATGCTTAAATCGTCTGAAGTCAAGGAAAACTGATTCGAGTCTCTTGCAGTAGGACTTCTCTCAGTTTTCTTCTGCAGCCGGCCAGAAACGATCAGTTATTGTCTCCTTCTAGGGTCATTCTAAACTTCAGAGTGCTCAGTTGTTCAGAATACTTCCAAAGTATGAAAGGTGTGCATACGGCCACAAAGTTTAGCGAGTTTGGCCAGATCCATCCAAGATCAGCTCTTGATGTAGGACCTAAGATGGCAATGATCGTGCTCGATTGGTGTTGCATAGAACAATACGACTTTCAAATAGCTAAGCGTCTATAATACTTCTATATCGAAATACGACGTTGTAGTAGTTGGACAGGGGTAAAGACAACCAACATGTATGATAGATAGGGGGACCACGCCTACCCCACCTCCGTATAGACTTGGTAGTACTGGCTATTCAAGCAAGTCAAAATATCTACACATTGCCGCACCTGCTTTCAATATCCTGAATACCTATATGAATCTAGTTCGGTTTGGCCCTTGGTTTTCTTCGTGAATTCATTGACCACCTCGTCGTTGAGCTGTCAATACCAAATCAGGGTCAGCGGACGTTATTATCATTCGACCCTTGGCATCGAGGACATAGACTTGAGTATTTCCTCCCCTACATTGACATACTTCTCCTAACGTGACTAAAACACCCGCAAAAGAAGCGGCTTCTTGTGCATTGAGACTGAATACCCTATGTCCCGTCGATGATTTCCTGACGCCCGTGTCCGATGCCTTGATACTCTTTTCCTGCCTCAGCCGGAAGTTTCTAGTTATTCACACTTCTGAAAGAGCACTTGGGCTTCTTCAACCTATCGATTTCCAAAAGGTCTGCGGTATTCTTTGCGAGTTTTGCTTTTGCTGTCGTCGTCCACTTCCGCAAGAAAGTTGGTGTTGCCAACTTGCTGCTATGATTCATAGGGACGAATGATCGCAAATGCATTCAGAATCCACATAGTATCCGAATCTCCTTCTGCATGAAGTTGACAATGTCCATCACAGCGATGGTTCGGCAATGTTACCCAAGGAATCATAATTCAGGGCACTTAGCTTAGGTTGGCAATCATCGAGTCGCAGCTGAAAAGTGCGGCTGAATGTCCGCCGCTTGGCAGATCCCACGTGATAGCCTCCTGACAACCTCTCCATTAAACATCGAGACTCAGGGCCTTGATGAAAAGCACAATCACAACACATCATCTCATTTGCCAGTCGCGGCTTATATGCTTTCGATCATCGGTCTGAGCGAACCTCTCTGGTAAGCAATCTTTATTGCCGCCATCATCGACATCGTGAGATCCGGACACCAGCTCTTAGGCTCATAGCATCAGGATCGCGAAACTCCATGTCACCATAACCATTTGACTGTCACTAACCAACAGCGAAACTCAACAATGGCCGCTCAGTATCAATACACACCCTTCTCCACTCCAAAATCAATCCGCCTCATCCGCCTCGTCAACACTGCAGATAAATCCTCCCCCCTCGAATGCTCCTTCGAAGAGACTTCCCTCGACAACCCAGTCTCCTACGCAGCCCTCTCCTACACCTGGGGAGGCGAACCCTCAAACGTCCCCCTGACAGTCGTAAACACCACCACCACCACCACATCCCAAAACCCCTCTCAGCAAACCCTCCAACCCCCGCTGATGATAACCCCAAACTGCGCCGCCGTCCTCAACATCCTCCGTGGCCCACGTATCCGCGACCTCTCGCTATGGGTCGACGCTGTCTGCATCAATCAGTCCTCGAACGACGAGAAGAGCGTCCAAGTCGGCATGATGGCGGAACTGTACGAAAAGGCGAAATACGTCTTTGTTTGGCTGGGCAACGAGTGGGCGCCTGCTTCGGTGCTCGCGTTGTACAAGGGTGTTCCGAGGGTGAAAGACGACCAGGAGCGAGGTGAGTACCGACTGCAGAAACGTAAATCTGCACTGAATATGGGAGATTCAATTTTGCGTCTTCACTCATACTGCTTCACAAAAACCCTCCCTCCTCTCACTGACACACCCAAAAAGCCCTAGACCCAACCCTCCTCTCCAAGATCCAACGCGCTCCCTACTGGCTCCGCGTCTGGACCCTCCAGGAAGCAACCTACAGCAACGCCTTCGTCCTCTGCCTCGACGGCGGGGGCGAGGCCCTCTCTAACATCCTCCAGAACTGGGGTGACGCGCACAGGAGCCACCCGGACCCGAACCAGCTCGCCATCAACATGCGTCGGAAAATCATCACGGACGTTTTTACTACGACTAGTACTACTGCGGGTGTTGCTGTGAATGCTGCAGATGCCGACAAGCAGCGAGAAGCGGCAGAGATTGCTGCACGCCGCGGGAAACTGGATGTCTATCAGCTCAGGTCGCTGCTGTACTTACAATCTACGGAACCCCGTGACAAAATCTATGCCCTTCGCTCTATATTCCCAGAGACGTTTGGAAAGGTAGTTGTCGATTACACGGATCCAGTGGAGAAAGTCTACCGTGAGGCGACGAGGCAGCATATCCTGGGACAGGATACTCTCACTCATCTCCTCCTCCTCGATGGAGGAAACACTTCGACATCAACATCAACATCAGCAACAAGCACCAATCTTTCCCCGGTCAAAGACTTACCCTCCTGGGCCCTAAACTGGAACAAACAAGTCACAGAGGGGAGAACTCTCCTCGACGTCCCCGCCTTATCATCCCGCGGCAGCAGACCCTACTACAGATTCTCACCCGACGCCCGCACCTTCTACCTCAAAGGCAGGAGCGTCGCGCGCGTGGGCGATAGCATCAGCCCCAAACTCCCATTATTCGACCTGTCCTTCGTCTTGGCAGACAAAAAGCAAGACTTCATCGCCTGGGTGGGTGATGCCAGGCGTATTTCCCAGGCCTTCCTCGCAGACATCTTATCACCACCGCCCACCGACGCAAGCGAAGAGAATAAAAAATTGGCACTACAGACCTTTCGCAGCATCCAAACCCTCCTCGTACGAATCCTCCACGCAAACCCACGAACAGAAGCCGACGCCGCCTCCTTAAACGCAATCTCCACCCCATCAGCATTCTCAGAGGCAGTAGCATCACACACACCGTCTGCCTGGTTGAAAATCGGCAACATCAACGCCGCCATGGGTTCAGGTTGCATGTTCCTCACCACGGAAGGCCGCTTCGGGTTCTGTGTTTCGGCGCCGGAGCCAGGGGACGAGATTTGCGTCTTTTCGGGGCTGGATGTCCCGTTCGTCGTTCAGTCAAGAGGAAGCGGGAGCGGGTATGTAGTCGTCGGATATGCGGTCGTCGATGGGGTCATGGACGGGGAGGCGTGGCCTGATGACGAGGGGGAAGTGACGGAGTGGGCGTTGGTGTAGATGTTTGACAAAGCATTGCCGTCAAACCTCCAAGTTCGGGACCATGAACACAACCGCGGCACCCAGAGATGGGCATCTCAAGTCTGATATCCAAACAAACACGGGAAAAACGGGAGATAGGAGGGCACAGAAGGAGTTACATATATCCATATTCCCAAGCCCGGCCCTCCCGGAATCGGCACCGGCAACCCGAACGACTTACTCAGCGCCACCCCGGCGGATCCACCAGGAAACACACCTTACCTTACCTTAGCTTCGGACTCAGTATCTCCTCTCCAAAGTCCGAATATCTCGATCTTCGATCGCCCTCCTCCACCTGCTCTTGAGCCCCAGCCAAGCCCCAGGCCAGGATATGCCTCCGTGTTCCCCTCTTGCATGATACATCCGTACGGTCCGTACCCGGCCCTGGAAGGGTGGTCAAGCTACACTACATACTTTAATCTTGTCTTAACGTCGCCAGTCCGGGGGTGATCACATCAGTGGATTCTATACGGAGAATAAAATTAAACTCTGGCGTGTGGATTTTCCCAGAACCAGCGATCAGGGTGATGTTCATGTCATCTCGATCACCACGTGGTTCCGTGTCTTCAGTTCTGGAAACAGTCAGGCACTACTGCACCGTACCGTATTGAACGGTGGTCAACAAGAAGTCACCTACGGGATTTTCACTTCATTTGGCAATATATGTAAGGTCATGTTGTAGAATATGAATATATGAACAGTTGAACATTAAGACAGCAGACAGCTTTTATCTAGTCTATGAAAATAACCCTCCAACGCCGAAACAATGCATTAATACTGTGTCTAATGCAGGGCGCTTTCGCCCGTCTCCGCCATAAACTTTTGGCAGTTGAGCAGTGTACGAAGCTGATCGCTAACCTCCTCAAGTCTTCCAATAACCTTCTTGTTGCCATCAACGAAACCCAAAATAGAGTAAGGGATACCGGTATCCTTGCAGAACTCCTTCACAAACACCTGCGCCTTGCGGAGATTGTGCCGCGGGACGCGCGGGAAGAGGTGGTGCACGGCCTGGAACTGAAGACCGCCGTGGATGAAGTCCAACCAGGCGGGGCAGTCGACGTCCATGGTGGTGCGGAGCTGGCGCTGGGCAAAGGACTCGGACTCGCCAAGGTCCGAGGTGGACATGCCCCAGTGAGACAGAGTAATCTGAACGTGCAGAGGCATGGTGATAATGTGAGAAACCAAAACGAAGGCGACGCGGATGGGCCAGGTGGGAAGAGTGTTGAGGATCAGACGCCAGCCAAAGATGTACCAGAAGCAGGCCATGAAGGCGATCTCAGTCGGGCGAATCCACCATGCCTTGGAGGCTCCCAGGGAGGAAGATCTGCGGGACAGGACGTGAAGCCAGGAGAGAAGGTAGAGGTTGAAGCGAGCGATGCCCATGACGGGGTAGTAGGTGTACGCCTGGTACTTGGCGAGAACATCGGCGGCGGCATCCCATACGAAGACGAAGCCGTCGTAGTAAGTCGACTTGATGGACTTGAAGAAAGAGGGGCAGGTGGCGAAGAGAGGGACGTTCTGGATATCGGGATCGTGCTCCTGGGACGTGTTAGTGACGGAGATCGCAACATGATGAATGAAACAGGCAAGACTTACAGGTTGGTTGGTAATGAGATGGTGGACATTGTGACTGCTCTTCCACCATCCCATGGAAAGGCCGCAGCAGAAGTCGGCAACAAAGAGGCCAATGAGGGTGTCAAAGGTGAAGTTGTGGGTGATGGCACCGTGTCCAGCGTCGTGGGCAGAGAACATGATCTGATGCCAGAAGAGACCCAAGAAGCAGGCCGAGGTCATGTACCACTCATAGTGCAGAGCGGTGAGGAAGAGGGCGAAGAGAGTCGAGTATCTGCACATCTCCTTGCCATAGTCCAAGTAAGGGCAGTCATAGAGACCAGCATCCTTGATACGCTCATGGAGCAGGCGGTACTTGTCCTGGATGTCGCGCTGGACGGCAGGGTCGAGAGAAGGGTACTCGTCGAGATCCTTATTGATGTTCTGTTGGATAGACCACTCGGTGTACTGGTCAGCGGTCATGCGGCTCCGGCCCGACAGACCGGGGCCAGCGGCGAGGGCATCGTCGGTTGGGTCTGCAGGTGCAGCAAGACGACGTCTAATGCCCGTCTCAGTCTGAGGCTCGGGCTTGGCCTCGACCTCTGCACTGCTGCATTCGGAAGTCAGGGACGTGCGGGAGCTCCCGCCAGATACATCGGAGACGGCGTCGTCGGCGGAGTCGTCCTCATCGAGATCGGACGAGGGGCAGTCGACGGCAGCGTCCGTGGTATCATCTGCAGTAGTACCAGCGGGAGTGCTGGCGTTGGATGCAGTTGCCGGTGTTGTGGTTTCTTGCTTGGTGTAGACGCCGCCCCTAATTGGTGGTGTCATGTTGATCCAGGGACCCGCAGGTTTCCGGCCGATCCGAAAGGCCTTCATGGTGTTGAGTGTGGCAGCCGAATGGTACCTGTCAAAAGCGATATGTCAGCACACTAATTCCACTTAACGCATCAATAACGGAGTCCGAATGTCCAGCGAATCCGAAATATTAATTGGCCCTTCCCCCTTCTCCCACCATTTGGACCATGTGGGAAAATAAGCTTAACCAGACTTCTGATTATATCTCGGTCGCTTTCGCATTCCCGGATGCTTCTTTTTTCCCGATGTCCCACCCCTTTTCAGATTATTGATCCGAACCCGCGGGAATGATGGGGGCACGCCGCATAAGGGTCCAGATTCGGAGGGGGTTCTCAGCCTCAAGCTGAAGATGGTGGGAGGGGGGGGCGCCAGACGTGATGCACCCAAAGGTTAATTGGACATGGAAGGTAAGTCGAGCCTCTTACACTTTGATCTCGTCGGTCGCATCTCTTCCAACCATGTGCAGGATAGCCAACTGTCCACCGGGATGCTTGCCCATCCATCCGTCGAGGCGAAGAACCATCTCATCAAGAATGACGATTGTGCGTCCATCTGCGATCATGCCCTCCACCTCACGGGGGGTGATGATTCTGCTGTCGCGATCCATTTTCGCAATTGTATGGATGATTTCGTTATTCGGTCAAAGATTTGTGCTATGTAGCCAAATTTTGAATTCGGCAAAAAAAGAACTATCGACGATTTTTTCCGTGGGCGGTGGTGACGAAGTTTCGTCTCTGTGGTGAATTCAACAGAACGACTGCTGGAAGGCAGGAAGGGAAGGTGTGGTCGAGCTTGGCCAAACAAACACAAAAACCCGATTGAACTCAAATTATCGCCGCACAGTTGCGTACGAGATCGACAGGAGGTTGATGTCCAGTCGCAAGAGGACAGGAAGAAGGGAAGCGAAGAGTCGGTTCGGTGGTGATGAACCTGGGTAGGTGATGGTGATGCGCCGGGGACGAACAGGTCGGTTGAAGGTGGGCGATGCGGTATTTTACGTATTATCGACCTTAGCTTGCTTGGGTGTGGGCTGGCTGGCGGCAGGCAAGATGCGCGGTGACAGGAAAGCTTCAGGACCCTGTCGGACAGCTTTTTCGGTTCGGGATGGCGAGAAAGAGAATTTACGGCAAAGGCGAAGCAGTCGACACTCGTGCCATTTTCAGATGAGAACAGACGACATGGACATGACCTGGGAAATAGGAAGATGGAGGGGGGGGCAGGCTCTGGATAAAGGGCAGAACAAACGAGCAAGAGTCAAGAGAAAGAGGGACGGGAGAGACAAGAAACGGGCAGACGGGATAACGGGCCAACGTAACAGAGCGACGGGGGTGTGAGGTGAATAGAATACTGGATGGATGGATACGGATACTGGGGGTGGAGGAGAGACGAGACGAGACGAGAACAGAACGTGAGAAGAAACGTGGATGGAAAGGAGCAGCGCAACAAGCAAACCAGCTCAATCCAGGAGAGAGAGAGAAAGAGCAACCAGCACCAAGAAAGAAACCACCAGACGAGACGAGCAAGCGGCGGCGGCAAAGATGCCAGGGTACGGCACGGTACCTACTCCGTATACCCCGTGGCTCATCCCCGTACGAGACTCCGAGTAACGAGGAGCAAGCAGGACGTGGAGCGTGGAGCGTGGAGCGAAACGAGGGTGCCCAGGTAAGGTGGTTCTTCAAAGATTTGTGGATCGTCTTTTTCCATTGCATCCACACCCACTTGGTTCTTGGATTCACCACCAAGAAAGGTAATCCACTGCCACAAGTGTGTGCGGGTTGCTACTGCTGCCTCTGCTGCTGCTGCTGTTGCTGCTGCTGCTGTTGCTGCTGCTGCTGCTGCTGCTGCTACTACTACTACTGCTACTCATAGTGTGAGGAGAGAGAGAGACTACCGTCGGTCAAGGACAGCTTGTCTTCGAGTTAGGCAGGTCGAAACAGTGCGCGTGGGTTCTTGGTGGAGGTGCAGGTGACTGGATGGGGACGGGATGGATATGGGGGATTGGGATTAGGATGGGACATGGGCCATGGGCCATGCCATGGGCCAAGGGTGGGAAGACTGTGGACATGGAGACATGACATGGTGCAGGGGGGGCGGAGGGGGAAACCAATGGAGAGACTCTCTCATCATTGAGATGCAAGAAAGTAGTCTTTCCAATCTCCCCGACTAGCTTCCCACTCCCAGATTTCCCGCCAAGAGAAAAAGGAACCGAACGTCAGCCAGGTTGTGGTGGTTGTGGTTGCAGCCAAGGTATTGAATTGCTGTGCCATGCCTACACAGTGAAAAGTGGTGTAGGTACCAAGCGAGTCTGTATGCGCGATGGCGTAGCTGTGTACATGGCAATCAGACACGTGGTGAGTATGTAAATGACAATGAAAGGTATGAACAGTGCAAGGAGAAAGGTAAAGAAGAAAAAAAAAGTCTGTGTGTATGAGATTCGACGCTGAAAATGCAGGGCAGAATGAACGACAGCGAGTGTTCGTATGGGTACGCAGGTACGCAGGTACGAATACGTACGAATAACAGTATGGACACATACGCGCAAGTTCGCAAAGAAAGAAAAAAAAAAGATTGAGAATGGAAAGGAAATGGGCACGGCCAGGCCACGCCCCTCCCATCTGCCAATCTTGTTCCCCGAATCCCCCCCTGATCCAATCTAGTAAATTGGCCGTTGGCGCTTTCGCTAGCCCCGGGGGCGCAGCTTGTTGCGTTGCTGCTCTTCTCTTTCTCGCCTCTTGGGAGCTTGGGGCCACTGGGCTTGCTGAAGAATGGGGGCTGGGCTCTGCAAGGTGCAACTTTGCATTGGCCATTGCCTTTGCCTCAGCACATAGCAGATGAGACTGACAGACGGAATGACTCTCGAATTTAGCAATGGTAAGAGATTCACGAAGAGTGAGACTCGGAAATAAAACGAAAAGGGCGTAAACCGGGGTGAGCGAGGAGGAAAGGAGAGAAAAAAAAAGCCAAAAAAGAAAAAGGTGAAGGAGCTTATCTGATTGACACCGGTTGACCTTGCGCCGGCGGGGGCCTGGGCTGGGCAGTGGAAGCCTTGACAGGACCCTGAAAGGCTGAAACGATGAATATTGGGGTCCTTCTCGAATCATGCACTTTTCCAATGTTGGAGAAGGCGGTGGATTCTGCCGTTCTGGAAGGTCACACCTTGCCTGTGCCTCCCTAGGTACCATGCTAAGGTACCAACGGACCCGAAGACGGTACGAAGTGCGCGGGTGGTGAGCGGTGCGCAGGTGCGCGTATTACCTTACCTGAGCATCCCGTCCATCACGGTCGACATGGAGAACCGTGACGGTCACCGGGACACGGCTGAGGAAAACCGAGGAAAGAGAAGAGCACCTTGGGACCTTCCACCATTCAAACCTCGGGGGCCCTTGAATGAGTGACTGGCTTGGCAGGGAAGGAAGGACCGTACTCGATACGGAGAGGCAGGACCACCTTGGCAGGAAGTACGCGGGTGCAAGTGCGCCGCACGCTGCACTACTGTAGCGCCATTGCCCATTCTCCAATCTCCAGACTTAGCACCTTCCAGGTTTCTGGGGCCTCGCGTTGCCCTTTCCCTCATTCACCTAGACTCCTTCCCAAGTCACTTTCCAACAGTCTAAGACCAAAACCAAGACCAAGCAAGTGCACCCCTCCGAAGACTTGGCGGCCGCACACAGACATTTTGGAACCTCGCATCTCGCACCTCGCACCTCGCAAAGAGTTTTCGTAGAAGAAAGGAAAGAGCGAAGAAAAAAAAAGTTGGCAGGAGTCAAGAACCCTCAAGCACACGCGCCTTGAGTGGGAAGTGCGCCAGAAAAGAATGGGGAACAAGTGGGACGGGGACCCAGGACCCTTGAAACTCAATTCCACCGTCCCGCGAAGAGACACCAAGGACATATAGACGCATAGACGGCACCGGCTTTGAGAGAGCGACTAGGAGTGTGGCGATTGTGCTGGGAATGGTCTTTACGCTCATCGAGCCTTGACTCTTGAGTCTTGACTAGTTTGGAACCCCTCCAACGACAGATCCGTCTCCATGGTTGAGTCTTGACTTGACAAGTGCAAGTGTGGGTAGGAGAGTGTGAATTCAAAACTTGGTCCAAGTTTTGAACCTGCCGAAGAATGTTTCTAGAAATGCCGCTCAAAGCTCTGGACCTCCCACCTTGTCTCGACTCTCTCTAGTCTTGGGTGCAGCCTTGGCCTGGTTGGAGTGTGTGTGTCGCAGTCTTGGTTGGAGCGGCTGTTTGAATCGTTTGGCCCAATCCCATTGTCTCGTCTCTTGGTTCCTTGGTTTCCTTGTTTTTTTTTTGACTTGTGATTGCACATGGCAACTTGGCAAGCCGAAAAAAAAAAAGAAAAAAAAAGACATTGAATAATCAGAGAGAGCTGTTCCTCAAAGGGAATTGTTTCCCTCGGCTACTGTACGCGGTCCCGTCCACCCCCGTCCACCTTGGTCGCTTGCCCCTCCCCTGGTCCTTTCTCCCCGTGCGAGGTGGTGCCAGGTGGTGGCTCATTTAGCGAGCCGAGCTGTTGGGGCGGAACCAGACGAAATTGGCCCGAGGGAAATGGCGCGCCTGTCAAGGCAGCGCCGCAGGGGAGGGAGGGGCAAGGGCCAAGCCAAAGGGGGGGGGGGGTTCGGAACTTGGAAAGCCACAAGTTGACAAGCTTGCCGAGCGATGGTCTCCGTTCAAATGCGAACGTGCTTTGATCTTCAAAGTCCCACGATCCACCGTTAATAACGAACTCAACGTACGGATACCCGCGGGAAGATTAATTGATGGAAGATGAACACACCCCGACAGTCTGAGGTAATGTGACGACGAAAAGATGATGGACGGGGGGCAAAGTGGGGTATCTCGCAAACCGAGGTATTGACTATGGAGCAGAAAGACGGAAAGAACGACCAAGAGCAACAGGTAATCAGGAAGCAGCAATCAGCACGCCGCAAAAACGGGAATCACCGTCAGCATCCAATGGCCAGGCTCCAGCCTCTTGGCTAACGGAAGTTTCCCCTTGGCGCCGCCGACTGCGCCTCGCAACGACCCCACAAAACGTCAACTGCGAACCCGAAGCGGGAGAGGATTGATGGATGGCGCCAACTTCCTCAAGCCCCATTATGCAGTATGCCTCTATCTACTATCTACCCGCGGTTTCTCTACTAATCTCTACTACTCATCTATCTAACCTCACATTACGGCACTCTATCAATTACCAGCAAGCTATGCCCGTACTGCGTGCGAGGTGGTTGGTCGATGGTCACAAATCTCGTTCCAAATTGACTTCTTGATTGAGCTTCATGTCGCAGCAATCGCCAAAAACTTAGCTGCTGGGGTGCTCCGAGCTGTGTCCTATCTAACTTTTCATCTGCTTCCCTATTTTATCTCTTTCCATGTTTGCAAGACGAATGAGACGAGGCACACAATACACACCAAACAATTGGCATCCCATCTTTTCGGGTACGGATAGGTGACTTTTTTTTCTTTTCCTGCAGGCTGCTGTAGGTACTTACTGCAGGCCTTCCATTGCGGGATGGTGGCACGGTGGCTGCATCCAATTACCCTTCATGGTACACATACACCAGCACATCAGCAGGTTCCTGATAGAGGACCAAGCTGTTGCTTCTTTTTCCCCGATTCGTTTCCATTCGGCAACAAGAGTTTCCAGACTTTTTCCACCGAGCTCGTGCCAGCCAGCGTTCCAGCGCCTAGCGAGAGAGTCAGCTCGGAAATAGCGCTCAGCTGAGTCTCGCAACCGAGGGGTGTGAGCCTTTCAGCGTTCAGCCAGGTAGTGGTTGTTGGCTGAATCGCTTTTTGCCGTCTCACCTTTCCAATATCCCGGCACGGTGACGCTGCATGTGCTGCTGCCGCTGCAGCAGCGCAGCAACACCAAGATGAAATTGAAGAAGCGGGAGCGGGCTGGAACTGGAACAGCTGCCATGCTTGTCATCCCGGAAATCTACACATCTCAAAAAGGAACCCCACTTAACAGCCACGACTAAGGGCCGGGGCCCACGGGTGTGGTGAGCGAAGCGGAAGCCAGCACAAGGAAAAGGTGGCGAGCCTGGCAAGGTGCCATCGCCAATGGAGAGCCACAGGAGAAAAATGTAGGTACCCGGAAGCAAGGCCGCGTACGTAATATCCCATATCCATGTTCGAGACCGTTGAGTGGCACAGTCTGTCATGGGGCTCGCCCGTCCGCGGGTCCAGGACAAATTGATCGGAAAGGGGAGGGACTTGGGGTCATCAGGGAGAGCCGGAGAGGGGAATAACTTCTTGGGAGGGGTGGGGAAGTCGTATGGATACAACAAAGGTATTCGGCCAATTCTGCCAACTCCCAAGAATATCTCAAAAAAGTGGTACAGCCAGACGACGATCTCTATGCAACTTTTCAGACTTCCTAGCTTCCCTTCATTGTCTTGGTTCTTCTGGCACTGTGGGATAGCCACATTTAATGGAGAAGTGAAAGAAAGCAAAGGGGAGGGAAATAGCGTCATTCATGTCGCAAGTGACCTTGGATCAATGGATTCCCATGAAGCCAGAAGCTAAAGCAGACAATCAAAAGTGGGATGTTGCAGGAACATCACAAGACGATCCAAATAGGCGGCATACAGAAAAAGCTGATGCCCGGTTGGAAAGCGCAAATCCCATACGCGTGATACGACCGAGGGAGGCAAAAGAGGGTTGCTAATACGCAATAGCGGAGACTAGCAGAAAGGGGTTTGGCTGTTCCGTCTTGCAAATCGCCCATGATGATGTTCGTCTTTCTCCTCAGCTCTTATGCCCCCTCTCTCTCTCTCTCTCTCTGCTCTCAGCCGTACTGGTGGCATGCTGGCACGCTGGCTCCAACTTTTCTGTCTCGTCAACTCCTGCTGATCAACTTGATTCTGACGAGTCGTACATAGACTGTGAGGTAGTTCCAGCGGTGTCATCCAATTCGGATAGGTTAGGGGGGCCGCGGGCATGGCATTGGCGTGTGAGCTACGGGTAGCTACTTGAGGCTAGAGCTTTTCTGCCACTTTGGAGACAAGTTTGGAGAAAGACATGCGCGATGGCACCTAGACATGCCAATTGCCAGCCTTTCGAATGTACGCTTTTCCCAGCGTGGGATTGGCGCGCAGAGGTTCGCGTGTTCGATACGACACTAAACGTGGTTTCTGGGCCTGGACCCAGAATCCCGTCCGATTGAGATTCGACTCTGGATGGACCAAGATCAAGGGGCCTGGGGTACCCCCTCGGCAACCGTTTGATTGGCTTCCAGTGACGGCGCTCCTTCCGGTCACGAGCTCTCGGATTAATTCGCACTATCCCTCGGGAACTTCGGATTAACCGTTGCTGAGTTTCCCGATAATTTGCGCAGCTCCATCAGCCAGCTCTTCCGTCCTCAGACATGTCCTTGTCTCTCTCCAGACGTTGAGCCTGCTGACTAAGGTTTCAAGCTGTTTCGGTCGCCACCGCAGTTGGTCATCGTTTTTCCCTCACGCACACCGAATCGCCCGGCCGAATCGTCTAACAACTGGTTATCACGGCACGGCCGACGTCTACCTTTGGCAAGATGAAGCGCAATATCCCCCAAAAAGAACATTGTTCTCGAATCATTCCATTCTTCGTCTCGATACTCGAACTGATTCATCTGCTCGCCGTTTGGCCCTGACAATCTTCACTGCAAGAAACGATACTTACATCAGATGAAAGAAAAACCGTACTGCCGTGAAACTAAAGCTGACTCGGCCCAGAAACAATCGGCCTTCGTCCGAGTCACGTGGAGTAAGATCTCTTGTCATCCCGTTTCCGTTTTGGGACGAAATGTAAGATTCGGACGCGGGCAAATACCAATCTCGTTCTGTTTTGCCTCACATCTAGACGAGCCAAGGGGGGGTGCCAAAGAACACAAACGAGGGAAAAAGGCAAAATCCCATCGGAACGAGCTGTACAAGCGAACATGAGCAAAGCTTGAATCTGCATTATCACCGAGTTTGCCAAAATAGCAACATCCATCTAGTCAATCGTTGAAGGGAGAAACCCTCCCTCCCGCGGAGGCCAGGGTCCCACTTCCGTCCAGGCCCTCACGGAACCGGATACTTGGTAGTGAGCGGCATCGGACCGATCACCGACGGCACCTTCAGTAAACCCCGGGTCCCCGAACAAGATAAACCAGTGCCAAGTTGCACTCCGCGCTCCGCCCACCATGTCCGCGTATGAGCGTGACCGCGAGCACAGGTACGACTACGAACCGCTCTCATCCACAGGCACTGGCACCGGCGGTGGCGGTAGCGACAACGACGCCTTCAGGCTGCTCCTCCTCGAGCCCTCCGCCGCCCGCGCAGACCAACTCAGGGGATCCCTACGCAACACCACCCTCGCCAAGTGCGACTACGACCTGATCGACCCGTACACAGCCCTGTCGTACGTATGGGGCACATCAGAACGGGCATGTCGGATCCGACTCGTCGACGGCGGCGGCCGTGAGCACCTCTTCGCCATCACAGCCTCGCTCGACGACGCCCTGCGCGACCTGCGCGACCCCACGCGCGTCAGGAGGGTCTGGGCGGACGCCCTCTGCATTGATCAGGATAATGTCGACGAGCGCAACGCCCAGGTGAGATTGATGGGGCGCATCTACTCAATCGCCCACAGCACTGTCATCCACCTCGGCCACCTCACGCCCGACGTCACTGAAGTATTTTCCGTACCCCGTGATTTCGCCCCCGAACCCGGAACGGATAACGGCGAAAGTACTGCCGTCGCCGCGAAAGGTAGAGGAGAGAGAAGGGGGCCTTGGAGCCTGCTGTCCAAGACATGGTTCGAGCGCGTCTGGGTCTTTCAGGAGCTGGTCCTGTCGAGAGATCCCTGGGTCCAATGCGGCAGTAGACGAATACGATGGCGCGAGTTCTGCGCCTACTTCCTAGGTGGTGGCGGCGGCCCATCCTCGTCGCCGAGGGCGCAGAAGGATGAAGAGAGGCGGCGCGTCCTGGCAGACATGAACTCGAGCTGGGCCACCCAGTCGAGGCTCCCTCTTCACCGCGCCGTCAAGGCGCGTAGGGGCCTGGGCGCCACGAACCCGGCCGACTTCGTCTACGCCACGTTCGGCATCATCAGTGATCTTGATACTGTTGAGCAGTACCTGAAGATTGACTACAACATGTCGGTTGGTCGTACGTTTGGCAAAGTTGCCCAGTACATGTTTTACGAGCTCGGCATTGAGCAGATGATGTTTCACGTAGACGATGCTCCCGCTTCGAAACGAGTCGACGGGCTTCCTTCCTGGGCGCCCGATTGGAATCTCGAGGCTTCTTACACCAAAAGAAATCCGCTCTGCATGATACAGGACAACAGCTTGGACCACATCAGAGTGAAGAAGGAGGTCCACCATGCCTTTACCCAGTCTTCGACCAGTGATCTGCCGCTCGTTTTGGGGCACATTGGCATGAAGGTAGACACGATCAAGCACGTCAGCTGCGTGATGCCATCTGGTCTGCAGAGCTCGCACCTGACTGCAGACTACAATGCCGCGAAATTAGAGTTGATGGGCATATATAGAAATGCGTACGCCTCAGGGGACAAGTTCGGTCAATATCGACACGTCCCGCTCAAGGGCAAGGAAGCGGAGCATGAGCGTCTTTGCCAGGTCGTCGGTACTACGTGGGCCGGAGCACTCGAGAATTTCCACAAGCAGTCATTCGTTTACGATACTCAATCGAGAGAAGAAGACACTAGCTTTCTCGAAGCCCTCGCGCGTTGGCTGGCCTCGGAAGCGAGCAAGAAGCGCGAATTTGTGGGCTCGGGTACAAGCGGCGTCATCAAACGCCTTTACGGCTACTTTGCCCGCACAGGCGGCGACTCCGATCTTGAGGGCAGACGGTTAGCCTGGACGGGAGACGGCAGAATGAGTATCGTGCCGGCGCAGGCTGCGGCTGGGGACGTGATTGCGTATCTAGTTGGCAGCAACACGCCCGTTCTGCTTCGTTCAAAGGACGCTGGGGCTTACGGGCCAGAGATTGAGCGCATGTTGCTGGAGACCCTAAGGCGGCCTGGCTGTGGCGTTGTCACGATGACGAACGAGCAGAAGGAGGAGGAGTTGTGGAGGGTTCCTAGGCAAGGTGAGGTCGCGGTTGAGCATTTCACGGTTGTTGGGGAGGCGTATCTTGACGGGCATGTCGGCTGGGCTTTTAAGTATCTGCCTAAAGAGTCTGATATGCGGATCTTTGCACTACACTGAGTTGCGTGAGCAAGATTACTCAGCGGTGATACTCACGCATTCAAAGTATTACTTCGTGGTGAGAAACGGATTTTTTTCAGGCAAAATTCAAGACTTGATTTATACTATACACCTATCGACTCCCGCTCCGAAGAAACATAAACAAAAAGAAATGGGTATCGTAACATATTCAAGGACTCAACATACACCAAGGCCCGTCACCGGCCTAAGCTCCGCGTCTTATTCTCACTTCATGGCCGCTTCCCAGTGCGGCGCATTGAGTATCAAAGCCATCAACGACCCCGAAAACAGCGCAGACACAGGTACGGTAACAAACCACCCAAAATAAATCCACGCCACGAGCCGCGGGTTGATAGACCGCCAATCCCCATTCGCCAAGCCGACCCCGACCGTCGCGCCGGCAATACACTGCGTCGTCGACACAGGCAGCGCAAGCTTCGTCGCCATCATCACCACCATCGCGCTCGCGAGTTCCATGCAGAACCCCCTACTCGGCGAAATCAGCGTCAGCCTGTTCCCCAGGTTCCGCATGACGTGGTACCCGTACGTCAACAACCCGAGCACGATGGCTCCGCCGCCGAAACAGAGAATCCACACCGGCACGCCGACGGACGTCTCGATGCCCCCCGTGCGCCAAATGTCGTAGGCCGTCGCAAAGGGCCCGATGCTGTTGGCCACGTCGTTTGCGCCGTGGATGAAGCTCGCGGCAGAGGCGGTGAGGATCTGGAGGGCGCTGTACATGTGTTCTGTGCGGTTGTCGTAGTGCGGGGCGCGGGCGTGCATGTCTGCAATGTCCCAGGAGAGGACGGCGGTGCGTTTTTGCATCGTGATGACGTCTTGTTCTAGGCCGCGGAGGAGAAGGCGGTTGAGGCGCCAGGTGAGGACGGGGAGGCTTGTGTTGGGTCCTGGCGGGCGGGGTGGGATGTGTTCTGAAGTAGAGGAGTGGGAGGATAAGGAGGGCCGGCGGGTGGTCTCTGTCAAGGCTGATGTTGTTGATGCTGCTCCTGGGGTTTGAGGGGGTCCGAGGACTGGCGGCGAGAGGATGGGTTGGTCGTCCTTGAAGAGGTCTGAGGGCGTTTGGCTGCTCTGTATCGACTCGAGTAGGGTTTCTGAGGCCCTCACGTAGGCGAGCTCATCAGCCGTGAGGTGGCCACGGTAGTAGTCCTTGATGTTGACCCGCCGTACTCCGGCCGGAGGGAGAGGTGGTGGCGGTCGATTGAGGAGCCAGGGGCCCTTCCACATCATGAGCCAAGTGAGCTCCCAGTCTTCGTTGACGATCTTGCGCCGGAGGTAGGGCAAGAGGAAGAAGGCTTGGAGGAGCGTAGCGCCGGTAGCGACAGAGAAGACTGCGATAAGGACTTGGGTTGCTGTGAGTTCCACTTGGAGCTGAACGCCTTTCCAAGCTATGAGCACTGTTCGGGTGTTAAGTCTCAGTCTGAAAGGGAACTTTTCTGTCCTACCACAGAAGGAAGAGGGTAAGTAGGTAAACAATATTTGAGGACTCACTTGTCAACGAGCCAAAGGTCAAAAAAGTGTAAAACGGAATTGTGTAGAAGGCATTCCGCACAGCATTCGCCTTGGTCAAGACAAACCTCTTTGTCACCAGAAACATCACCGCCCCGACCGCCCCGCTCAACCCCGGCGCAATAACCCACACCGCAAACACCTGCGACACCCCGTCCCACCCCCAACTGACTTTCGAGATACCCACGCTCGCGGTCGCGGCGCCGACAAGTCCGCCAATAATGGAGTGCGTCGTGCTGACAGGCAAGCCGTTGCGCGTGGCAATGCTGAGGAAGACAGAAGAGCCAAAGATGGCGCACATCATGACGAGAAGAAGGACGCTGGGGCGAGCAGCGTAGAGATGCGGGTCGATGATTTTGTTGCGGAGTGTGTCTGTTACACGAGAGCCGACGGCGACAGAGCCGGAGAACTCGGCGACGGCGGCGATGGCCATTGCTTGTTTCATTGTTAGGGAGCGGGAGGAGACGGACGTCGCGAATGAGTTTGCGACGTCATTTGCGCCTTGGATTCACATGATCAGCCTTGTGTTTGTGGGCAGCCCTATTGAAGTTCTGCCGTAGATCTGTTCTATTACAGACTGGTGAAACATACCAATGTTCCAAGCATCGAGAAAGGAGAAGATGGTGGTGATGGCGAAGATGTAGTCATATTGATGCAGTGCAGCGGCCATGATAGCTCGCCGGACGTTAGTCTTGAGTGGTATGCCCTTAGAAGCGGTACGATCTAGGGTAGTCTCGGAACCAAGACTCGGATGGCTGATGCGGTATCGTCGTCGGCTCCTGGTTCTTCAGCGGGGCCCAGTCCTGTAGACATGTTGTGCTAATTCAATCTCATCTTCATCGATGTTGGTGATATTAGTCTTGATAGCTAATCAGGAGGCGGCGATGACCCGAAACGCAACTCTTTTTTGCTGGTAGGAAAAGAATGAAGTCTTGAGTTTGATCAAGCATTGTGGTTGTCGTTCCGCACCGCTGGCCTGGGTCAGATGGTTATATGGGTTCGTCTTGCCGTAAGCCGAGATCGAAACGGGACTGGGGCCCTCTCACATCAACACATTCGACATGGAGGCCAAGGCAAAGGCTGTGTGCCTGGCCTGCTGCAGGATGAACTTGAAGAGGTTCCATGTGTGCAGTAGTTTCCAGGTTTCGTAGGGGACGCTGACACTGGCTAGCGGCCCTTCATCGAATGTGGTCGAGGCTCCTGTCCCAGGGCTGGACCACGAGGCTGGGGAGACGTCAATGACAGGGCGGATGGGGATTCTGGGGTGGCCTCTGCTCCACCACCATCTTCTAGATAGCTGTCCAGGGGTTTGAGACGGCCGGAGCATGCGGATGCGACAATATGCTCCGGATGTAGCTCGTTGTGGACACCGATGGATATGTAGGCTATCAGACCCCCACGAACTCTGATTCTGGTCATTCTACATCTCGAAAATCAGCATGGCATCAGGCCAAGGCGAACATGCTCTATCTTTGTGTAGGCAAGCTGCAAAAGTGAAAGTGGCTACTGGCCGCTCGTCGAAAATGGGCAGAAAGGGAGCGGCGAAGCTGAAGATGGATGCTTGGCAACGTTGAACTGGGTAGCCAATCTGGGGCCGAGATTCGAGCACGGTGGTGAACGGTTCGAGGATGTCCATCCCCACCACCAACGTCGCCTGCCGATGTGGCGTTTTTCGTCTTATGGGAACCGCCCTAATTGTCCTGCGAGGCATTCGTATTGCCCGCCTTTTTGTGGTTGATGTCTTCTTGAAAGCAGTGTGCTTTGCATTCGTCGGTGTCTGTAGTGACTTTCGGTGTCCTGTGATTGCTTACATCTGCGCCTCTGTGCCTCTGAAGATAAGGTAGTGTAAGGCCGGGCGTGGGGCGGCCCCGGGCATCCGGCGAAACAGCGGGGCCGATTTCAATTGCATAGCCGGCTCTGCGCATCGTGATAGAATGCTTGATCAAATCTCCACGGAGTACAGCTTCCTGGATGTGTCTCTGTTCGCATCCTTCCTCGTAGGTCATTCGTGGGTTAAAGGGATTAAAGACCGCATGATATGATGAAATGACATTGCATATGTTTACCTAGGAAATGCTAGGTCTGATGAAGCAATATAAGCAGACTCATAAAAGAAAGCTATGACAGAAGACACCCAAGAGCCCAAAAAATGGTTGGTAAGTTTATAGTTCTGCTCGCCCGCCTAAGTTTTCGGACGATTCTTCTGCAACTGCAGTCTCTCACAAGACATCGGTCAGATGTCCCGGTCTTCAGCAACAGCAGGACGGAGCATGAGTGCGACACTATCAAATTTCTCAGTTTAAGGTTGCCCGTAGCCCCAGAATGGACAGTTATCCTTCTACCTTCTCAAAGTTAGAAAGTGGTTCACTCCCTACATGAGATTCTATTCTAAGATTTACTCCAGGTCATCATGGACTTTGGGCTTTTGCAGCAAACGAAGTCTATTTACATCATCGTCAGTTAGTATAGGATGAAGCTTGTTGTTTTTTCCATCTCCGAAAGTAACCAAGATTATAGTTTGGGCCACAAAGGTACAACAATGGACGTCATACACTCGTACGAGAAGAGGTACATGTATCCCGAGTCGCCACTCTCATAGCGCATAAATTCGACGGCGTTGGCTGTGATAGCCGTTGCGACCGATAATGCAAAGAAAGTCTCTCGAGTATAAACATCTTCTCCTTTCCAAGGCAATGGTACTTTGTACCTAAGAGTTATGAAATTGTCGCTACTTTTGGCTTGGGAGTTGACGAGAACCATGTTCAATAATGTGCTGACAATGTCCGTTTCTATGACCCACCTCCTTCGCACCTTGTCTACGCCGACATGAAAGCTTGTGTTAGGCTCTACTGTTAGACAACTGATCGAAACAAGAAACAAGGACAAAAGATCCATGGCCTGTGGACCTTAATTGAATGTATCAAAGGAATTGACTCGTATCAGCCAGAGCTGTGGCTCGACCGTCGAATGTCTGTGGAGAGAAGATCATAGGACCCACGACTGCCCGTAACTCAACACAGATATTTGTTAGCACAATGATACAGAATAGTCAACCAAGGTAAGATTGGCATCAGAAATGGGATCATTCCTCCCATTTGTCAGCGAGGCATGGGCGACGAACGTATGGTAAGGCAACTGAAATCATTATTCGGCTTTCGCCTTGAACAAATGTCCGCGCGTACGGCGAAAGTACCCGCATTGCAAGGAATGTTTACTGGATCTGGGTGCGTATTGCTAGGCTTTTAACGCCGTAATATCCGTAGGGAATCTATTAAAGGCTAGAGCGCATTGTTTCTATCTTTTCCAGCCGGTGGGAGTCGGCCTCGGTGCTTACAAAGGACCGTCACCGAGGTGCACTAGTGGAAGGGGGAAAGGCGACGATGATGAATAAAGTAGGTCTTGTTCGTGAAGTCCCAGCAAGCCGCAAGGCAGGCTCGTGCTTACAAATTCGAAATGCATAACAATTGCTTCACATACCTCGGTAGCCACACAAGGTGTAGAAAACTTTTCTTCTATCATATGTTGCACACTGCTATAACCCCCGGGTGATCTTTGAACACAGTCGAGTTTTTCTAAAGTTGCATCTACCATAACCATCACCAATCGGTAGACTTGGGAGGCCAGTTGTCCTCTTCTCTTTACATCTGCATTTTTCAGGTCTCAGTTTTCGTTACACATGAGACCGTGAGTATATATTCGTCCATCCACGTTGCACGTACACTGACCATGCTTATAAGAAAATGGCTGAATCCGACTACCAGCTCATCCGCAATGCCATTGCCATATTTCCTTTAGCAGTGGACTCAAAGAACTACGACTTGCTTTCTGAGGGGTTTGCGCCCGGCATTGTAGTTGAGTATCCCGATCCGATAGGCGTCACACGCGGTGTAAAGGATTTGAAGCTGGCTCTCGAACATGTATTGAAGGGCCTTGAGACACATCATGCGCTGTCAACACAGTCTATCAAGCAAACCAGCCAAACGAGTGCTGAGGCTGTGACTTACTGTATGGCGGTGCATTTTGGCACTGGGGAAACAGCTGGACGTCAGGTGACTGGCTGGGGGCATTACCAAGATACACTGGAAAAGGGAGTTTTTGATGATCAGGAAGGATGGCGCATTACGAAGCGGAAAGTCCATTTTCATGTTCCTCATACCGGAGATGGATCACTTCTCGGGATCAAAGGGCATTAGCCTGAAGGTCAGGGAAGGATAATACAATTCCAACAGCCACGGCAACTTGCCGACGATCCTGTATTGCATGGTGGTTTCTGGATTGAAATTACTACATTGAGTTGAGCGGGAACTTAGAAGTTAGGGCCAGGCATATCGTGAGCATCATGGAGTTGAATCATGTCCCGTATGGTGGGATTTCTCTTCAAAACCAGATTCCGTCGTAACTCGGTAAGGTTGATCTTTTGCGCCTGTAAAGCCGGAAAAGAATCACCATACTGCAGCAGCCACGATTACTCTAAATACTTTCCAATGTACTTAAGAAGTTTCCTTGACAAGTTGGGCTGCATCTGCGCTCTCTTGCTAGACGGTCTTGACTAGAATATGCGATTCACGGTCTTTGCTATTGGCGTAAAAACTTTGCCCCGCGTGCCTCGAACAAAAGAGGCTTCGAGCCTCATCGCGTCTCGGGGTTACCACAAAACCCGGCTTCCCTTGAAGGGTTGGCCACTTGCTACTATCCCACCGGACGCGAGTGGAATTTAGTACATGCATCTCCAGTTTTCCCTAAATCGAAGTCTTTGTTGAGTTCATGGTTCGCAGGAACGACTGAAGTCGGGTCGAATTATCACTTATCCCATCAACTGCTAGATGGCATCGATATGAATATGTGTACCTTCACAGGAAGTGATTTCCTCATATTCGACCATGAATAAGCTCGTAATAGAGCAGAACTAGAGCAATATTCAAGGTGGATTTACCGACGCCACCTAGCATGTGGTAAGATAGTATTCGTAAGTAAAAATGCGCATACCCGGACTGATTTCGACTTGAACCCGATGAGAAGCCGCTCGCCCTTCGGCTTTATCGTAAGGACCGGCTTCGTGACTTCGCGCTCACTGAAGATCCGATGGTCGAATCGTCCGACGTGATAGAAAGGTGCGTATGGTCGTTTTATTGAAAGTCTCTTTGCGTAAATGTGTATTCGTAGGTGATGATAAAGAAGCCAGCTTTCTCTAGCAGGTAATCTTGTCTCAGCCTCCATCAACAGCTTATCAATCATTTTCAAAGAACAACCTAAATCGAATCCTCCTCATCATGCTCCGTCTAAGCCCCGACGAGTCATTCCATTTCGAGCTGTTGCGACTTCTCGCCCATGCAACATATGGAGGTGCTGACGTTGGCGAGGTACTTGCAATCGCGTCAGATATCACCCCCGGTGACTTTGAGTCCTTTCACGATGCATTCGTCAAGCGTGCTGATAGGATTCTGGCACAAGCAAACAAATTGACTAATCCGGTATCAACCCGCGACGCCATGTTCCGAGCATCTACTTATTACAGAGCTGCCGACTTCTACCTGCACGGGAATTGGGAAGATCCTCGCATCTTGTCTCTCTGGGACAAGCAGACGGCGTGCTTTGACCAGGCAATCTCTCAATTACCTATTCCTGGTTATAGGCGTGTAGTCAAGGGGCCGGGCTTCGATATACCGGTCATTTTCTTCCCAGCGCGTGCGGCTGCCGACGAGAAGCTGCCGACCATAGTTCTGGGCAATGGCTATGATGGCTCCATGGAAGAAATGTACCACCAGTACGGCGCCGGAATCCTAGAGCGCGGTTGGAATGTACTATGCTATGACGGTCCAGGACAGATCTGCGCACGCCGCTACCAGGGAATCGGTTTCACGCATGAGTGGGAAACTGTCGTCTCACCCATTCTTGACCTCCTAGAAACGCTACCAATCGTCAACATGAAGCAGGTTGGGATCGTTGGAAACTCGATGGCAGGATTACTTGCCGCCCGGGCTGCTGCTTTCGACCACCGTATCGCTGCGGTATTCAGTATCGATGGGTTATACAATCTCATGGACACCCCCGTCTTCGATGCTGAGAAGGGGCTGGCTCGATACTCGGGAGTTCAGGACTTTGCAGCTGCAGAGAGGATCTTCAAGGACCCAAGTGTACCAACGACAGCTCGCTGGGCCCTGTCTCACGGCTTGTGGGCTTTCAAAGTCCGGACCCCTGCAGAGTACCTGGAAAAGGCTTCCCATTTCAGCTTGAAGGGTGTAGCGGACAAGATTAAGTGTCCTGTATTTGTTGCTGATGCCGCGGATGATCACTTTTTCAAAGGGCAACCTAAAGCAATGCGGGATGCTTTGGGCGACAAAGCCCACTATGTTATGTTCACTGCAGACGACGCGGCGGGCGACCATTGCCATGTTGGTGCTGCAAGGTATACTAATCAGGTCATGTTTGACTGGTTTGAGGAGAAGATCATCAAAACTTAGGTCAATATGGGCTTTCATTAGCCCTATGACGAAGAGTTGTTGTCGACTGTCAGGCTAGGCAATGTGCAGACGAGTCGACGTCTCGAAGTTCCTATAACAAGGATTTTAGTCGATGTCGTCTGATTTCTTTCCTGGTAGCTTTAACCTAGTTGGCTGCAACACAGAAGTTTTCATGGCAGGTGGTAAACGCACGGTCCAGATGCGGTGATATATTTCTCGAGGTCGGTGAAATTCTTGTTGCGTCTCCCCTCAACCCTTTCCTTACGACTAGTGATCTTCCCAACTATGCCCTATTTGCTAGTGTGAAATCTGGCTAAGAATATGACTAGAATCGAATGTACACGATGGTGTTGTTCTGAAGGAATGTACTTTATTTCCGTTTTCAATACCATTGGCAGCAAGATGCGAAGATGAACCGAGCCTCTTCCTGCCCACGAGAGTCCCACCCTTCCCTAGATAAAGATCAAATGTGCTCTGGAAAAGCCCCCAATATAAAACAGCCTCCGGATATCTGAATATCAGTCAACGCTCTTTCCATAGCGCCATTAAGTTCATGTTTCTTTCTAGTCCTCGCCACAAGGGTGTGACACCAAACCCGTGTGTGGCGTCCCAGCCCACTGGAGTTAACCAACGATGCCTTAAAAATCGCCCACGATACTTTGCGAAACCCCCGGTATCAATACACTGTGACTAACACATTTCTTATCCCTCTGGGACGAAATGGTCAAGTGATAGGCATTAGGCCACACGGCTGGCTTTCACTCAGTCACTCCCGATGGTCATTCCTCATGAACCTTGACGGCTTTAGAAGGTACTGAGGTAGTATGTGATCATACAGTTGTGGTCTACCCCGGTTGTCACGACCTAAGGGTACATACATCGTCGACTTCTATCTCCGATATCAAGGACCCAAGAGACCTTGACTACCACAACGACTCCATCAAGTCACTCTCAAAGTTTTACTCCTCCTAGCACTGAAAATAAAAGCCAACCCATCCCCTGCTTCTTTCTCCTTTCCTTCAGCAGTCTCACCTCAAACAAACATAATCCACTCTCTACTCTTCATCCCATTCTCAGTTGACGACTGCGGCGATTCACTCACTTTCTACTTTCGCCTTCCTCATCTCATATATCTGGCTCCTTCACAAAAAAGACCCGAGATTAGTTTTGGCTACGGCTCTCTTCTCCTTACAACCCACCTTAAGTTCTATTACAATACCCAATCAACATGCCTTCTATCGGAGCCACTCTTTTCTCTCCCTCGAGGGCTCAGAGCAACACCACAACCACATCCCGTCGCATGCCGCTTAGCAACGTCCCTGTTTTCAACGAAGACAGCGCCATTCATGAGGAGCAGCAGCTTTTCGGTAGCGACGACTTCGCCATCTTCTGTGATGAGGAAGACAGCGCCACGCCCGAGGAGCAACAACCTTTCAGCAACGACGACTTCACCATCTTCTGTGATGAGTCCGAAGAGAAGTTCCGTCCAGCCAATGGTTATATCAACATCGGCTTCGAAGATGGATCGAGGTACACAATCCCAGAACTGCAAGGCACCGTCGGCGTCCTCCAGGAGCGACACCCCAACATCATGGGTAGAGCAATCGACCACAACAGACACTACGGTCGACTACCCGCTACCGTCACTCAAGAGTATGCGTCTGCCAACAGGGAAGTCTCTGACGCCCTTCATTATCTCCATCCAAACCCCGAACAGGGTGCTCCAGGCCGACACCTCACTCCCGAGCAAGTCGAACGCTCGGCTCGCATGCTCTCACTGGACACCGCCATCGACCAACTTCACGATCCCCTCATATACGAAGACCGACAGGTTCTTCGTCGTATCGTGCGGCTGCTGGACATTCGCCGCCAAGAGCTCTTGAGGTACAAAATCAGCGTCGACGAGAACATGCCGGAGGTTGAGCTGCCACAGACTGTCGACGACATTGAAGACCTAGCGGTCCAAGCCAGCGTCAGCTTCGACTACCCGTTCGTTCTCCACGCTATAGAAGCCATCGATACTCTTGCTCAGAGCGTCTGGTTCTATAGCGACGAGGAACAGAAGTCGAACAAGGAGAACATTCCTCCTGAGCTTATGAACTAAGATGGAATGGAGGAAGAAGATGCAGAGCATCAATGCCTGCTGGGAAGGACAAAAAATACAAAGGGACAAAGCCAGGTGCTCAAGCCCTGAAACTCTGGGAGACTACGGAATGGAGTAGTCTCATGATATCACGACGAGCATATGAGATATGAGCAACGAGGCATGATTAGATGATTAGACGGGGGTTTTGCATCAGGCAATTGGGATCGCTTGGAGTATTGGAGCATTGCATTGCATCCTGCGTTTGGGGGTTACAAACTTCGAGTCCATAGACGCATAATTCTAATGATTGCGCCTCACAGATGACAAGTGATCCATTAACAGGCTGAGCAAAGCGATTGTGTGCCTGAGTTGTCAAGAGAATGAGTGAGTTGAAGCTGAAGGTCCAACTTGTGAGACATTCATCCACTGCCCGTAGAAAGGGTACGTATCTTTGGCAGAGTCCAAGCGCCGTTTCCCATGAGGACCCCGCACTAAGCCTTTTCAGGCAAAGATCACAGGTAATCCCATCCTGGAAATTGATGCTATTGTTTGCCTATTGTTTTGTGAGGGAACGAGCTTCGCAACCCCGCCAAGTCACTCCTTGTCCGGCTTAACCAACTCCATCCCAAGTGTTCTTGTCCTCAGAGATTCGGACTTCCAGCAGTCAACGCAGTTCCAAATACTGATTCTTGTTTGTGATACCCCGAGTCTTTCTTCTTTTTCTCCAAGGTATGCGTTCCTTTTGCCTCTCAATTCATCCCAGTATCACCTCATCTAATTTTGCCCCGCCTTGAATTTCCCTGACCGCCTCCAGCAGACCGCAAACTCGATTGCAATATGTCGGACAATAAGGTCTATCGCGCCAGTACCACGGCACCTGTCAACATTGCCGTTGTCAAGTATGCTCTACCAAGTTGCAACTGTGTATTCAGCAAGTCTCAATACTAACAAACATAGGTACTGGGGTAAGCGCGACCCGAAGCTCAACCTCCCCACCAACAGCTCCCTCTCCGTCACCCTCTCCCAAGCCGACCTCCGAACCCTGACGACGGCATCCTGCTCCGCCTCCTACCCCGAGGGCGACAGCCTCATCCTCAACGGAGAGGCCTCCGATGTCTCAGGCGCCCGCACACAGGCCTGCTTCCGCGAGCTGCGCGCCCGCCGCGCCGCCCTCGAGGAGAAGACCCCCTCCCTCCCGAAGCTCTCCAAGCTGCCCCTAAAGATCGTCACCGAGAACAACTTCCCCACCGCCGCCGGACTCGCCTCCTCGGCCGCCGGCTTCGCCGCCCTCGTCCGCGCCATCGCCGACCTCTATGAGCTCCCCGAGTCCCCCTCCGAGCTGTCCCTCATCGCGAGACAGGGCTCCGGCTCCGCATGCCGCAGTCTGTTTGGCGGATACGTCGCGTGGAGAATGGGTGACAAGGCGGACGGCACGGATTCCAAGGCTGACCTCGTCGCCGAAGCGTCGCACTGGCCCGAGATGCGCGCCCTGATCCTGGTCGTCAGCGCGGCCAAGAAGGGCGTCTCGTCGACTTCGGGCATGCAGCAGACGGTCGCGACGTCGGGCCTGTTCAAGCAACGCGTCGCCGAGGTCGTGCCGAAGCACATGGGAGAGATGGAGGAGGCCATTGCCAAGCGCGACTTTGAAAAATTTGCCGAGGTCACCATGCGCGACTCCAACTCGTTCCACTCCTCGTGCGCAGATACTTACCCTCCCATCTTTTACATGAACGACGTCTCGCGCGCCGCCATCCGCGCCGTGGAGCAGATCAACGCTGCTGCTGGAAAGACCATTGCTGCGTACACTTTTGACGCCGGCCCGAACGCTGTCATCTACTACCTTGAGGAGAACGCTGCTGCTGTCGTTGGTGCTTTCTCTCCTATTTTGGGATCCGTCGGTGGATGGAAGGAGGGCGCCAAGGATCTCGAGTCCTCTGTGGCCTTGGACGAGACTGTTGCTGGTATCATCCAGAGCGGTGTCAGCCGTGTTATTCAGACTGGCGTTGGCGAGGGCCCGATCAAGTCGGACATCTACCTTGTTGGCGAGGATGGTGAGCCGGTTAAGCGGTAATCTGTTCAGTCCATTTTTGACGGCATCTAAACAAGCTTCAAGTTGCTCAAAAGTCCTCTTTGTGCGTATAGAAACACCTAATTAAATACCATTTTGAATTCGTGCTAGTTGCAGCGAATGTGTTGTCAGTGACGCCCAACTGAGGGTGAATATACATCATGCATGACCCTTCTCAATTCCAAGTAGAATGTCTCGCCAGCTTTGAATATGCCAGTCAAGCATCGGAACAGGAATGAATTGAGAACCGGGATGGTGAAGATGGACACAAAATAGCTTTAATACAGTGAGTCTGAGACTTTATTTGAAGAGATTGCTGGCTGACATATCTCAGGGCAGCATTTCCATGTTCTCAACCTACTGTTCTCCCATTCGAACACCTTCAAGGTGGGGTCCACTTTTCTCATTCAACCTCACTCCTGCCTTCCTGCCACATCGCTCCTTCCTTGGCCATCCCTCTGCGAACCATCTCGAGCGAACAACAAACCACACAAAAATGGCAGGAGCAGAGAAGAAAGAAATCCTCGTTGAGGAAAGAGATGGAACCGGAAGAATTACCCACCGCTGGCTGCACAACACCGCCTCACAAAAAATAACACACGTGCGCCAGTCTCAGCAAAACACCATTCCGACTCTCACCAAGGCCCTCACAACCTCAACGATAGCCGGGCTCGCCAACATGCGTCAGATTCTCTACGACGCATTCCTGCCAATTGGCTACCCTGACTCGGTGACTCCTGATTATATCGGCTACCAGACCTTCGACTCCCTCCAAGCCTTCTTCTCTACCATCACCGGCCTTCTCGCCAATCGCGCCATCCTTCAAGGCCTCGGCGTCGGCGACGCGTCCTCTTCCGCGACCTACGCCCTGCTCTTGACAATCCTCAAGGATGGAATCTCCCGCGTCGCCACAATTGTCTTCGCCTACCGCTTCGGCCTAGTCATTGAGCCAGAGTGCAAGAGATACCGCTACCTCGCTGATATTTTCAATGATAGCGCCTTCTTCCTCGACCTCTTCAGCCCCTACTTTGACCCTTGGATCAAAGTACTCGCCCTCGTTCTCGCAGAAGCTCTCCGCGCAATGTGTGGTGTTGCCGCCGGCGCCAGCAAGGCCGCTCTTTCCAAGCACTTTGCTCGTCGCAATAACCTCAGCGAGCTCAACGCGAAGGAGGCGTCCCAAGAGACCGCTGTCGGCCTCGTCGGTCTTCTCGTGGGCTCTATCGTTGTGCGCTACGTCGAGAGTAGGGAAGCCGTCTTTGCGCTCATGGTCGCCCTCGTCTTTGTTCATCTCGGCATGAATTACCTCGGTGTCCGCTGCGTTCAGCTCAATGTCCTCAACCAGCAACGCGCCACGATTCTTTTCAAGCACTACATGCAGACAAAGCAGGTTCTTTCCCCCGCCCAAGTCGCCTCGCGCGAGAGCATCGTCTTCTGGACTCCCGTTATCAAGGATCATCGCGGCGAGGTCATCACCAAGATTGGCTTTGCCAAAAGCTATGCCCATGCCATGACTGCGGACCTCAAGAGCGCCCGCGTCCGCTTTGTCATGCCCAAGCAGCAGTCTACCGAGAAGGGAGGGCAGGAAGTTCATTCGGGTTTCATTCTTTGCCTCTGCGAGAGAGGAGACATCGCCACCATCAGAATTCTACTCCTAGGGAACCGGTCCCCCACGGAGGCGAACGACATCAACACCCTCGTGGCGTGGTACTACGCCACCATGCTCGCCCACGACAGAACCCTGACCTCGAAGACTGGCAGTCAAAAGCTGCTCCACGGCGCTATCCCCGTGGACGAGATTGAGATGGGCGAAAGCACCGAGAAGTTGGACTTCAAGGCGCTTGAGGAGTCGGCCTGGGATGTCAATGAGACTAACCTGGACGCATTTGCTCCGCGTATCAGCATCGGCTTCGAAGAAAAGAAGGAGCTGTAATCTGATGGGATGTGGGATTACTACAAAGGGACAATGGTTGGGACAACGGTTGGCTCGAGGGAAACCTGGCGTTTGGGATGGATGACACTCATGATGTATGATCTGTTGATGATACCTGTGACCCTCTTTTCGATCTGAGGCAGTCACTTTTGCAAACAATTCGATTCGATGTACACTGGACTTTGTCTGCTGTGGAAAGTGATGTCACACCAACCGAGCAAAGGGCTGTTCTTCTGATGAACAATCGTAAAGAATAGGATGCAAGCACGGTGACCTCGTAGCCGCGATTCTTTGCTCGGAGGTTTCAAGGCTATTCGAACCTAGCCTTTCTCCTTTCCTTTTCATGTTGAACAGAGTGAATACCGTGCTAGATCACTTTTGAAGTCTGCCATTATTGTGTAATTGCAGCAACATGCTTCCATTGCGGAGCCGGCGGAGGCAGAAAGACTTTCGTAGCAGATTGGTAACAGCAACTACACCATGTTCTCGCGGGATATGGGAAGAGAACACCAAATCTAGATGAAGCAGTCCAAACTCGAAACAGCGGCAGCGACAATACGGGAAACAGATCCCGAGGATTATCTACCCCAGAACGGAGGCATGCAGATCAATTCGGCTCCGATCACATCACAGTCAGCCCAATTCGTGCCACTAGGAAGGAGAATAAAAAGGGAAAGGCAGCCCGAAGCGCGACAGGGGACTAGGTTCAGTGTTTCCCAGTTCCTGAAGCGGACATACGAATTCTTGTCCTAGCCGCACGAATCGTTGTAGTGTGTGTGTGTGTGTGTGTGTGTGTGTTCTTTGGGGGCTCCGCGCTCCGCCTTGCCTTTGGAAACCCAGCTGTCCAGTATTACACTACTGTGGACTATAGCCGCGCCGCCGTTATCGGACCACCATACTGCGCAGTGGACGTCCACACCTCCGGTGCGGCGGGTGCTCCGTCTATTGCCAGCGTGCGACCAGGATCGGGATGGACTGCTACGGATATAGTGAGTGGCAATCCCACAGCGCGATTCGCGCCGGGAATGGTTCGACACCCGGCTTTCGGTTCTTGAAGACGGCAGGCAGGGGGTAATGGTCAATAGACGTCTTAATTTCAGGAGCACGTCATCGGCCGGAGAGGGAGATGGATCGTGGAGACGTGGGAAGGAAGAAGTACGGGTAGTTCACTGATGGTGGAAAGCTAGCCCTATCCACAAGTCGCAATTCAGAGATGAATCTTGATCAAGTAATCTTACAAGGGACCGGAACGTGGTGGGAATCGGATCCGAACGTCTCCTTTTCTGCAGAAGAGAGCTACAGATGTTGATATAAGCTGGTACGCAGTAGTAGCCGCCCAACTTAGAAGGTAATTCTTCTCGAGGGAAGGCTAGTGACAAACACCAGCCCAACGAGACCAAAATTCACAAAGAAAGGAGGAAAGAAAAGAAGAAAAAAAAAAAAACGTGCCCAGCGGCTTGCAATTCGCGCCGTCTTACCTCGTTAGCCGGCCCGGTAGCCACTCAGGCGCCTTCCAAACCGGCCAGGACCCCGGCGGCAAGGGCAGACAGCCAGACACACACACAGGCACAGAGCAGCGCGCCGCACGCGCAAGCGGCGCTGATGCAATGCAATGCAGGGCCCGGGATCCCAAGTCCACCTCTCCTCCCCATCGTCCGTGCCGTGGGGGTTTGAACTTTCGAGCTGGTCTGTCTGTCACTGCTGGCTTCGCTGTGGTTTGTCCGGCTTGCTGGAGTTAAGTTGGAGGTGGGCTTGCTTAGATCCGGTGGGAAGGGTTTGCCGTGTTGGGCAAAAACTGCCCGGGGGGAAGACGGGGGAACAGATGTATCTGTACATACAGATGTGACGACCGGCAGACAGCTCGCACATCAGCAGCAAGATCGGGTCTCATTGACGAGGAACACCCTCTCTTTTCTTTTGCTCGCGTGCTCTGGCTGACAAGAAGCGAAGAAGTGTGTGTCTCGGTCGTGGCTTCGTGCCCACTGGCTGGTTCAAGATTATGTTCCGGTCGCCCGCAGAATCGTTCGATGCAGCGCGCCCATCTCCGTCGAAGGAGGATCTCCTACACTGCCTACTGTGTATGAGTCCCGTCCCTTTTGGGCGTGAAGAGGTTTCGTGGGTGCTGCGGTGTGGATGGACCGGGATCGGGAAGCATAGAGGAGGACTGCATGTTCCTTGCTGGACAGCTGCCCTCTTCCAGTTTTCCCCAAAGTATCGCGCATCGCCGGTTCCCCCGGATGTGACATTTTGTCCCTCGCAAACCGTTCCCCGGCGCTTTCAGTTGATTGATAATACTGCTAGTCCGCCCAATGGGTTTGGGCCTTTGGGGGTAGTCACATCACCATCCCTTCCCTTCCCCCTTCCCTTTCCCCGCGCCATGTTGATCACTGATCTCCCGAGTCCCAGGCAGGCATTACAGAGTACGGTACAGCTACCACTAGGCTAAAAATCCCGAACGCCGACCGCCGCACCGCGGGACACCGCCGGAGACCGCGGCAGTTGTTGTCGCTCGCGGTGGAGAGCCCTGGGGGGTTGGTAGCATGTCACAGTGACAGTGTGCAAACACTGGAGCCTAGGGAGAGAGAGAGAGAGAGAGAGACACTGCAGAGTCGCAAAAAAGTCTAATCTCCAGATTTTGGGCTTGTGCCAGAAGTCTGGGGAAGTTCAAGGGTGACCACTGGAGCTCGGTTTCGCTCGCACAAAAGGTCGGACGAAAATTTGTCTTGGCAAAACTTGTTGCCCTACCTTGGGTGGTATGCCGAAATGCAGATTGGCATCTTCCTTGGCTCAGGATAGACCGGGTTTGCGATGCTGCAGTTTGTGACAATGTCTGTTCGATGGGTGGGATTTTCTCATCGGCCACGTCAACTTCCAAGTGCTCAAGCTAGAGTCAAGACAAGGAGTGCTCCTTACAGCAGTGATGAAAGTTGCCGCCGCCAAGAAATGGTTTTGAGCACAAGAGACGAAATTGTAAACACAAACCCAAAGGGCTGAGACGGTGTGTTTTTCACACTCTGAATACGGATATCCGACTGTTGAATTTAGTGTGTGTGGATTCTGGGTCCCCATTGTCTCTGTACGATGGGGACATGGACACTTTTTGCATGGGTGGAGGAGGGGAAAATGGTTCGATGCCGGTGCCATGACGCGGGAGCTTAGAGATAAGGCGCAATTCACGTGTAAAATCAATGTGTCCCGCATTATGGCGACTGGCTGGCTGTCCGCTGGTTGGCGGCGGCGGCGGCGGTGGCCTGTCACTGAGGTCCCGTCACCGGTCAGGGCGGAGAACTACTACTAGTTAGATTTTAGTTAACAGAGTAAATTAATTACTAGACTCCAACTCGACGGAGGAGCGGAGGAGTGACGAAGAGGAGGGGCAGTTTGTTCGTTGAAGATTGAACGTTTCTAGGCTCTGGAGTCTGGAGCTCTGGATAGATCACTGTCAAGCAGTTAGGATCTTCTAGAAACTGGATACGCTCAAGTCAAAGACCGGCAACAAGGAAGGGATCGGGGACCGCTGGATTCCCACGCGTTCGGGGTTCCCAAATGTGGACGGCGTCTCATTGTCCAAAGCCTATGCAGGTCGCCCGCAGGTGGTCTGGGAATGGCGTGGTCGGTCCGACGTTGGAACTTGGGGACGCAAGCCAGGACGCTTGGGGTTTGTGGAGATTGCCTGAAACGGGGGAGGAGCATATTGGACGATTGTTAGAAATGGAGGTTTGTAAGATTTCGAATGTCACTAAGTCGAGTTGGGTCGAGTTGCGAGAGAATGACAGCCCAAAAACCACAGGAGCCCAAGAGGAGCTCCATGTTCCTGCTCAACTATAGTCCATCGCAAGAAGAAGCGGGAGGAAGAGAAGATGACGGTGACTTTGCTCAAGTAGCAAAACTCGGCTGGACGACAGCTTCCAAGAGACAATGGCAACTCATCCTCAGCCGAACCGAGAGTCTCCTCGGGGCTTGCAACTCTGGACACCCCATTCACAGTCTCTAGAAACTCCAAGACTTGTTTGACGACGGGAATCACTGCCCGAGGTTCGGGGTTTCGGGGCTGGCGCGCTAAGACATGGGAACAAGATTCACCCCCCATCGTCTGTTCCCCTCCTCCTTTGCAGCCTTCATCCTGTGCTCCTGTGCTCCTCTCCCTCCACCTCCACCACCCATTACCACCATGGCACCATGCGCTTGCAGCATGCACCGCTAGCTCGGCCTGCCATCCCCTGCCTCCCTGTCCGTTCCCTGTCTTCTTTCCTCCCGAAGCCGCCCATCTGGCTGAGGTGAGCAGGCCGTGCAGCGACACCCAACCCAGTGAACCCACCAGCTAACCCCCAACCGAGCGTTGTAACACAGAATGGAACCTTGGAGGAGAAGAAAAAAAAGAAAAAAAAAAAGGGAAAAAAAAAAAAGCCAGCCACACTGCGTAGAGTGGAAGTGTGTGTGTGTGTGACAGAGAGAGCGCCAAACGCCGCCGCCAGGATGGTGAAAGTACCTCAGAAGCAGGCGGGCACGGCCGGCGGCGGAGGCGGCGCGGTGTCTCTCGGCCTGTGAAGAAAATTCCCCATACCTACCTCTGTGCATTGTGCAGTGTGCAGTGAGTGCTGATTACTGAAATAAGACGTGTCTGCCTTCCACACCAGCCTTCTCGCCTGTAGTTCTTCTCTTCCCGTCTTCTCATCTCTTCATCTTCTTCCCTCCTTCAACACCAAACCGACCAGATCGCTCTCCTCCCCTGCTGATAAAGCTCTGCCACGCGCCAGACACCCCCAATTGCATTTCCGTCCAGCATATAAAAAGCCACAGGCACCCAAAAGTTTATACCAACACCCTTGATACCCGTCGCTAGCGCGTACCGCATACACCCCAGCTTTATCATCACAGGCGAGGAGGAGAGCTCAATCACCAAATTTCTTTTTCCCTCCTACACATACTTAGGTCCACCACCGCCCACACCAACGAACGACCTTAAGACAGTTTCGGAATCACCACTCCAACACATTTTCCAAGACCTTTTCCACTCAACTCTTTTTATATACCCTCAAAATGTTCGCTACCAGAGTCCTCCGCCAGGCTGCAGCCCACGCCGAGCGTACCCCGAGCATCAAGTTCCTCGGCCGCCGCTCCATTCCTTGTACGTTCACTCTGTCCAAAGTTCTTACCAACGTCTGCTCCCCTGATGCTAACAAAACCTCACCAGCTTCCATTGACCACAGCCCCGCCCCTCACCCAGCCTCGCCTACCGGCAAGCTTCCCGCCAACTTTGGCAACGGCTCCGCCTCCCCCAAGCACACCAGCTTCAGCTCCTACCGCGACCACGCCCAGCAGCACGGTCCCCTCCAGCGCACCATCGGCTCCGGTGTAGGCGGTTCTACCGGCCACCAGCTCGGCTCCGTCGTTCCCCCCTCTGGCGTCGCTTTCGACCGCTCCGAGCTCCCTGCCCGTTTCCGCCGCCAGCCCCTCGACATGGCTGAGATTGAGGCTGTCGAGTCCGGCGGCGCTGCCCTCTTTGGCTGAGCGTGATGTCGGAACGATCAACGGAAAACAGAACGCGCTCTTGCTACCTCACAGTTAAGGGAGACATATTTACCATGACATCCGCGGGCTGGACTACGAAAAAATGAGCGACGATGGCGGAGACGAGGAAGAGACGGAACGCGGGGAAGAGTTGGCGAGATTCACAAAACTAGGCGATGACAGCACGTGTGTACGAGACGACGAGACTACAGCGACGGTGGACATCCCACCCTCCGCGTATGCCGTCGACCAAAACAGCCCCCGGGATTGGGGCCTTCGGCAGGACAAGGAACAGTCGGCAACATTGATTCGAAACGGCACACCCGTGACCAACGGCAAGGGAAAAGTTTACAAAGGCGGCTTCGTGATATTGATCGCAGTGGAAACGATTCCCGTCCGTCAAGTGAGGAGCTTTGCTGGGATACTATGGGAGTCTTTTACTGGGAGTTCATCCGACACCCAAGCGGATACAGGCAACAAAGACCTGTCTCTTGCTTTGGCCTTTTCTACACCTAGTCTTCAACTTTTCTTTACCGTCAACGTCAGGATCGTGTCCCGAAAGTCTAGACTCGTGACACACGCCAACAGACCCCGTGCATAAAAGCAAGTTTACTTCAACATCTTCCGGACTCTTTTCGTGATCATGTGTGCCGAGCCGAGCTTCATTGAAATGAATCCCATGTGAAGGTGCTTCCCTGAGACTATTCAGAGTGTATGTAAAGCACCTGCAGCTAAGACGAATGTAACCCGTTTTTCGGAACTACGAACCAATGCTAAGCAAAAGACGCGGCTTACCATGTAGTTGGCCCCCATGTGATAGGCTCTCTCCCGCAGCTTGGAGAAACGCGCACCCTGCGTCCGTAGCTCCGGGAACATTCTTGGGGAAATCGTGCCACGTCTGATTTCCCTTGGCCCATGGGGACGCAACCTGTCGGCTCGTTCGTTTCTATAGGCACATGCAACTATTATGACTAGGTATCCTGACGTTGGCTAACGAGTGCTCAGTACCTTAGCAAAATCGCAGCTTGGACCAAAAAAATCATCCGATTGATTCCTTGAGGCTTGAGCTACCCGCTTCCGTCAATTCCCGAGGTAGCCGACTTGCCAACGTCCACCCGAGCTTGGAGCCTCAGCCACCAATTTTTGCATTGTCCCTGGGTCCGAGGCTTGACGTCGGTCACTTGGTCTGTGCAGTATGGCATCCGAGCGTGTTGAGATATACAATGATAGATATTATGAATCTTGTGGGCATCAAGGACCGCTTTGCGGCTGATTCATCGATGAGGCTCCCACAGTCTATGCCAGATAGTCAAATGAAAGAAACACATGTGAACAATGACTATCGTCAATCACAGGAGTAAATGCACCACTAAAGGTAATGTTCCCTGAAGTCGGTCCACCTCAAAGGCAAAACGTCTCGCAGATACTTACACCGTAGATGCATCTAAATCACGTCTACCTATCGTCCCAAATAATGAAGGCAATCTCCAACCACTCACAGCTTAGAAGTCAATCCCAACATACCCCAAGCCCCGATTATCATCCCCGACGTGGCTCTAAACACAGCTGATCCCAGCTCACCCTCCCGCCAGCAAACATACCCATCAACGAGCCCAACGTACACCAGCAGAGCCATGATGATGTCTACCCCAGCATAGTCTCCGCGAAGATACATAATTAGCTGAACCATTCCCAGGACAGAGAGCCGGGCGCCATCGAGGATGAAGCACGACTGCGCTATGGGTGACTCTGCGAATCTTTCTGGCAACCCGAATGAGCGGATTCCAGCGTCTTTGGCGAAGAATGGGACGATGCCGCCGAGGGTATGGGCGATGGCGACGAATAATGGGAATAGATGGGGGAGTCTGAAATGTCGCGCCATGGTTGCTTGCATTGAAACTCTACGAAATGCAATCAACGGTGATGTAACGAGACTTGAAAGTAGTTTGAAGGTATAAACCTCTTCAGACCATCTTTCATTAGCGGATCATGTCTGAGTAGAGAGATGCTTACCTAGCATCACGTGGTAGTAAGCACTAAAGTTCACCGAGGCGGGATACCTTTGATTAGCATCAACAAGCTCGACTGAGGCGATCTCTGTGCAGAAGCACCAGCCACATATTGATAGCTTGGGCCACAGTTTCGGTCAAATATCGGATCGTGGGATCCAGCAGCTTGGGATTTTGCTGACACATCAATCCTCCAGAGCTTCCGTGGACCGTAGCCATCCCAGCGTCATCGGAAGCACCCAACAGACAGACTCGTCATCCAACCGCCCAATCAAACGGCGTCAATCACATCATCCCAAAATAAAAATTAACAGATGCGCATGGAAGACACAGAAGAAAAAGTCTCCACCTAAAAAGTTGTTGCATCCCGCTCGTTCGTCGCGGAATCGTGAATCAACCCCCTTCACGAAACCAGCCAAGAACCAACGAAACGAACGCGCCCTCTCCCTTACGCTACGCCAACGCAGAGATTCAATGCGGTTTCCGTCGCAAGATCCCTCCCGACTACGACGCCCCAAGATCTAGACAAACAAAGACAAAGAAAGAAACACCACTGCAACCCTATCCCCGGGTTCTGGATCCAGGCCCCCGTCCCGCATCTGGTTACCCGTCACGCCGCCAAACCTATTGAGGGGTTCAAAAAGAATCGGATTCCTTCGCCTCTTGGTTCCCCGAGGATCTCGATTCCTGGATACCTCTGACTGGTATGAACCGTAACATCTCTACTCAACCACACACCCAATCTCCAAAATGAACGCCGACCTTGTAGACCTCGTTTTCCTAACCCGCTTCCAACCCTCAGCAGCTACCATATCCTCCTCCGTCGCAATCGACTACGAAGACCACTCTCACCACACAATGTCAGACTCAAGCAACGGCGCGGCGCCTGAGACGTGCCCCGTCGACCACAAGGCCCGCGAAGCATGGCTCCAGCACGCCCGCGCCGCGAACCCAGACGCAGCACAACCTCCGCACCCGATACCTCCAACCCAGGCAGGATCCTCACAGTCCCAGAACGCGCAGTCTTCATCGTCCTGGACGCAGTCTCTGCTGTCTTTGACGCCCTTCTCTTCTTCCTCGGCGCCGCCGCCGCCGCCAACCTTAACGAACGCTGCCACGACACAAGCTCCCGCTGCCTCCGCCGATACCGCCGCCGAAGTCTGTCCTGTAGACCACAAATCCCGCGAAGCCTGGCTCGAACAAGCCCGCGCCGCCTCCGCCGCGAACGGTTCCTCAAATCCTCACTCACCACACCCCGCCAACCTCCCTCCTAACCCTCACCACCACCACCAATCTCCCGAAGCCGCGCCATCATCACCACAGCCCTCGCGATCATGGACACAGTCCCTAAAGTCCTACATTCCCTTCACCTCATCAGCACCTACCACACAAACGAACACACCGATCCTTGCACCACCCGCACCCACCAAATCAGGCCTCGACACCGAGCGCGAGGTCTCGACGATTCCCAGGACAGCGACGTCAGCGTACCCGGGTATCAGCCGCCCGTCCAACCACGAGCAGGAGACGGGCTCGGACGAGGCGACGGGGAACTGGATATACCCGTCCCAAAAGATGTTCTTTGACGCGATGAAGCGCAAGGGCCACGATACCCGCGCGCAGGACATGGCGACCGTGGTGCCGATTCACAACGCCGTGAACGAGAGGGCGTGGAAGGAGATTAAGGAGTGGGAGGCGCCCTACCTCGAAGGCACAGCGTAAGTACACCTCTCATACCATGGCTCTGGGTTCAACCCAGCTTGTCCATCTGCCAAAGAACGAAGTAGAAGAAAGTTAACACAAGACCATCAGCTGCGACGGCCCCAAACTCCACTCCTTCCTCGGCCTCAGCACGAATATGTCCCCCAAGGCGCGCGTGAACACCCTGCTGGGCTACACCCCGCCCTTTGACCGCCACGACTGGGTCGTCGACCGCTGCGGCGTGCAGGTCGAGTACGTCATTGACTTTTACGCCGGACGCCCCGACGCCCGCGGCAAGCCCAGCTTCTACTTGGATGTGAGGCCGAAGCTGAACAGCTGGGAGGGTGTCAAGATGAGGGCTTTGAGGGGTGTCGGGTTGGCTTGAGAGGGAGGGCCCTTGGAGCGGATTCGTCTTTTGGTCTGATGGCTTTCTACCTCAGGCGAGGTGGAGGACGGTTAAGAGTGTATAAAGATGTGTAATAGTGTATAAATATTTGCAGCATTGGGGACTGGCGTATTTATCTTGTCTCGTAGAAAGGATATCCCAGGGACCACTAAGAAAGAACTACTCAATTTCAGACCATCTCTTTACAACGTTGGCGACATTGGCTGTCGACATGGTGTTAAGGCTTCAGCTGGCACGAATCAATACTAGTTACTGGCAAACCTTGCCAATTGACATTTTCTTTATCGGTCCTCTGCTGTCTCCAGGAACACCTTTCACCATGACATGTGTGCTCGAGATTGACTCTAGAGTTCGCCATTGAATCACGTGGATGGGCAAGCGCTTATACATACTCACGTCGTCACCAAGGAGTTACCTTTCTCCAGGAAGACAGACAACTAAGGGGCGAGGTCCAATCTCAGGCTTCCGTATGAACCCAATTTGCTTGGAAGCCTTATCTACCAGTTCCTGAAAAAGTATATTTCGCACGTCATCTCAGCGTGCCTCGACAAACACCATGAACAATAAGAAATCTCCCATGAAATGCCACTCGCACGTCATCGTGCGGATAATAATAAATCTGGAAACCCAGGCGTATCCCGCATCCCGAAGCAGGCACGCCCGCTTTCGGTTCCGGTCTCGACATGGACAGCGACGGCTACAGGGGCCCGGGGGCGAAGATCGGGATCCTGTAGGAGCCGAACACCCGCAGCCTGTCCGACGTTACTTGGCGCCACGGCGCCCGGGGGGGTTGTGCCTGGTTCTAAGCGAGACTCCAGTGTATTAAGTTCTTTTGGATATCACTCGCGGTGAACATGATTTGTGGTCCTCCTTCTTGACGTCGTACATTGAATGGAAGAACCGTTTATTAAGTCTACAGTACTATCTCAGAAAGGTAGTAGCGCCGGGTATTCAAGTGCATAGCTACATACCCCATGGCGTAAGCGTGCCATATGCCCTCATACGGATGGCTGTTCTTCAAAATCGCCTTGGACCGGTTGTACGCAACCACGGTTTCCAGAATGGCGGATTCTAGTATAGACAGGGGACTTTGGTTTAGACTCAAGGCTTGTTTGTGGATATAGTTCCTAACTTCTCCTGCCTTTTCCTCCTTGTAAAATCTACAATTCACATGTTAAGAGTCTGCATTGATGTATGATAATCTTAATCACCAACGAAAGCAAGAGCACTTACGATAATATATCATTAGTCAGATTGATAAACTTGCCCATCTCGGGCGCGGCTGGCAGGAAGCACGCGATATCCGGACACGTCTCCTTGTAGAAGCAGAAATAGGTGTACACCTCTGGAAGGCCTTCTTTATCTCGAAAGTAGTAAGGCCAGCTGACTGTCTCTTCCGAGAGGACGATTGTGTGGTACTGGGGGCGGATCTCAATAGCATTGGAGTTGATAAAGGCTAGGGCGGAGAGCACGATGAGGTTGGCGACTATTGGGTCGTAGTACTTCTTCGTTGACTTGAGTACGTCGGAAAAAGCTTGTAACAGTGTCGAGGGTTGCCGTTCTCCCAAAAGAAGCCGGGTCTGGAACTGCTCCAGGTCCGGCCCCAACTCGGCGTTCATGTCGTCGATGATGAAGCCGAACCAGGTGAAGAGACCAATATGGATCTGTATTTCGAGGGGGTGGAGAGGATACATTTCCTGTAGAAGCAGGTCAAAATCGCTTAAAGGCAGAGCACGGTGATGAAGAGCTTACGGCAGCGACAGCTAGTCCGGCCTCGAATCGCATTTGCGAGGCATCGTCAGTTTCAAGATGGACACCGCTTCGGAGGGCTCTATCGAGGAGAGCTATCCTCAATGTATTCTTGTCAACTTCAGGTGGCGAGACGTAGTTGATGGCATTCAGAAACGTGGGGATTAGACATGATAGCGTTTGCCGAAGACCTTGATCGAGTTGATCAGCCGTCTGAACTATTACCGATGGTTGAAGCATGTTGCTGCAGTTGTTCATAATACTCAAAGTCCGACCTCGATACGGATTAGGCCCACCGTATCTTTTCAAGTCTTTATCGTTAAAGAGGAGCCCCCGAGTCATACAGCCTGAATATCATTGATCTGTACGGATACACGGAATGGACCCCGTCTCTTCACCGCCGCAAAGGATACATGTCGGCTGCCTCAAATCATCTATCTTGCAGACTTAATGCCCCACGGAATCCGGAAGGAAGGATTCATGCATCTCCATCACACTTATAGTTTTTCAGCTCTTCTTATCATAGGTTGCCGGTGCGAGCTTACGGTCAGCGACGCAGCGCGCTAGCTCGGCGTAAGCCGGTCTAGCCTGGACGATCGCGATATCCACTCCTTCAATATTATCATGGGTGTATGCTTACAAGGGGTACGAAAACGGATTGGAAATATTGATTTTTCTGCTTGCTTTAGAGAAACTTCTAAAGTGATGCCTAAACTCTGTATTCGTCTTCTTCAGTTGGAAGGCCTCCCCGCTTCTGATCTCGAGTTGTCCTTGACAAGTTAACACCGATAAAATGCCTTCTCTATTGTATCAGTCCGCAGTTGCGTTACCTTGGACACCTCTTGCACTGTTCCTTGGTCTCATAGCTGTGGTGTACTTGTTCACCACAACCTTGATATCATGGGCTCGTTTATCGCATATCCCTGGCCCTTTCCTGTCTTCACTATCTTATTGGTCCATGTTTCGGATCCGCACTAGAGGCTCTCGTGGGTACCTCGAGTACGTGAAGCTGTCGACGAAACATGGCGAGCTTGTGCGCATAGGCCCCAACGACCTTGTCACGTCTGATGTACAACTCATCAGGCGCATGTCGGCGGCCAAGTCAACTTACGGGCGGAGCAGCTGGTATAAAGCCACCCGGTTGGATCCGTATCACGACATGATGGGCAGCGTACTCGATAAGTCTGTTCATCATGCCTTGAGAACAAAGCTGCAACCGGGGTACCTGGGCAAGGACATTCCCGGGTTAGAAGCCAGCATCGATTCCGGAATAGCAGACTTGGTGAGCTTGATTCGAAGAAGTTACGCCGCCGAAAGTTTTATCAGTGGCCCAGTAAATGCAGAAAATCCAAAGCTCCCGGAGCAGAAGCCTGTAGACTTTGGTCGACTCGCACATTATTACGCCATGGATGCTCGCTCGAGGATGTCGTTCGGACAACCCCTTGGGCTTCTTGGAAAAGACTCAGACGTCTTCGGGCTGGTTGCTATGTCGAACTTGGCCATAGACATCTTGCAATTCTTCACTGATATCCCACCTCTCCAACGAATTTTCACATCAGATCTTGCTCTACGACTGATTGGCCCGAAAACGACAGACAAAAATGGCTTTGGAAAAATCATGGGGTAAGTCTCTTTACAATCGATATGCATGTTTATTGTGTCGCCTCTGTATCTGTAAGTTAGAAAAACGAAACTAAAGTTGATAGACTTGCTAAAGAGCACGTTGCGGCTCGATTTGGTCCTGACGGAAAAGATGAGCCTGACTTACTCGTAAGTTACCAACCGTCATAAGACAACCTAAAGAGACTTTGGTCGTCCGCTAACGCCAACTCAACAGGGGTCATTCATACGTCGCGGCCTAGATCAGCGCTCAGCACAATCCGAAATCATGTTCCCGATGGTTGCTGGTTCTGACACAGCAGCGAAGGCCATAAAATGGACAATGCATTATGTTCTCTCTGACCTCTCTGTGTATGGGTCTCTTGTAAAAGAGATTGAGGACGCGGTATTAGAAGAAAGGATATCAGACCCTATCACATATCAAGAAGCTCAAGAACTGCCATACCTTCAAGTAAGTTAGAGCAAGGAGTGCTGCTCTGTTCGATACAAATTGAAATCGTCTACTGATCAGCTTGAAAACAACAGGCAATCATATACGAGTCCCTCCGTGTGAAGCCACCATTTCCCGGCCTCGTGATGAAACAGGTCGGGCCCGAGGGTGATATCTACAATGGCATCAAGCTGCCTGCAGGCACCAGAATTGGGCACGATGTGACGTCGGCAACCCACGATAAGAGACTCTTCGGCCAAGATGCTAAGGTATTCCGACCTGAGCGATGGCTCGAAGCCGATGCTGAGACGGTCAAATCGTGGAAGAAACAGACTGAGCTCGTGTTCGGCGCTGGCCGATGGCGGTGCACAGGCAAGTCTGTTGCGTTCTTGGAATTAAACAAGATCTTTGTCCAGGTGAGCTGTTCAACCAGAATTCATTGCAAGATTGGGTATCTGTGCTAAGTCTATGAATCAGCTCATTCGAAACTTTGAGTTTCAACCTACAGATACCGAAATGTTTGTGAGAATCTCCAATCGTGAGAAAGTGTAATAGGGAAAGCTGGCAGGTCTCAAGATTGATGTTTAGGACTAGTTCTCGAGCTAGACTTATGACACATGACCGTAAGGGTTGCGTCATTCCTGTCTCTAGAAGTCGAAAGACACAACGACGCTCATTGTTGGAGGCGATACCGTCCTAGCACCTATTAGATCCCCAAACTGAGTTAAATGTTTTTGATGTAGGTGTATTCCGAGCAAGACTCAAGCATCTCTAATCAATGAACACTAACAGAAGTGCCAATCTACCTTGATGGCTATTTCGACTACAGCCATTAGTCATGGCTATTCAGGCAGTCTCGAAGGGTGTCAATGTCATTATGTTATTAACGCCCCCGAAAATGGGCAAACTCGGTGGTCCGTCCACTTCGGCCGAGATCGGGCACGTTGGGTCAAAAATTTGCGCAATTGAATAATAGAAATGCGTCTTCTGCGCCCTGTACTCCCTCCGAGTTGACAGTATCCCCGCTGTTTATGTTCAGTCCACAGGTGAATAAGTGAAGGGTGCGATCCGCTTGCTTGGTGGTTTCGAGGCCGTAAGTCATCAACCACCAAACGAAAAGCTTCCGATGTCTACCACAACCACGGTGGAGCTGGTCAACGCACCGGCAACACCACTGCCACAACTTTCAGCCTCCACGTCAGTAACATCGCAGTCGCTGAACCAGACTACTATTGTTCCTGCAATTGGTCAGAATGGCGACCTTTCGAAGGGTAAAACTATGGTCGTTATCTCATCAGTGACCTGTATTACTGGCATTAGCTCCCTTCTGGCCGGCATAGTTACTGTTTGCATTCCAGCCATGGCTCGAGATGTCCGCCTTGATGGCAATCTTCTCTTATGGTAGGAACAAGTGCCCAAAGACCCATGTTGCTGTACATCTATTCTAATAGTAACAAGGCCTGCCTCTGTGTACGCCTTGACCTGCGGATGCACGCTGCTACTGTCAGGCGCCATGGCCGACCTCTACGGTGCTCGAACACTCTACCTTATGGGATGTTTCTTGCAGTCAGTCTTCACCCTTGCATGCGGACTGGCGAATACGGGGATCCAGCTCATCATGTTCCGTGCCTTTGCCGGAATTGCCATCTCCATGTGTCTCCCATCCGCCGTTAGTATCATAACGCACGCATTCCCCACAGGTAAGAGAAGAAACATCGCCTTTGCATCAATGGGCGGAGGCCAACCTATTGGGTTCTCTGTTGGCCTCAGTGTTGGTGGTGTGTTCACAGATACCATTGGCTGGAGGTGGGGATTCCACATCGCCGCAATCATCAACACGATCATCTTCCTTGTTGCGCTGAAGTGGTTGCCTGGCATCGGCAAGAGGGATCCGGTCACTTGGCACCGGTTCAGGACCGAGGTAGACTGGGTGGGAGCATTTCTGGCCAGCGCTTTCCTCTCAATGGTCTCTTATGTGCTTGCGTGAGTATAAGATGCGCCCTCAACTTGAAGAGCGAGATTAACTGACAGGGCGTTGATAGTGCGATCACCGATAGCACTCGGGATATCAAGGAACCAGAGAACATCGCCCTGCTCGCCATCTCTGCTGTGCTCATCGGCGGGTTCGCTACCTGGGTCGAAAGACAAGAGCGCCTGGGCAAACCAGCCATTATTCCAAACTCACTCTGGAAGAACCGCAGCTTCACCTGCATCTGCATCAGTGTCTTCATGGTCTGGGGCGCATTCAACGCGACCGAGCAGCTCAGCTCCTTTTACTTCCAGTATGTCCAGCGGCTCACCGCAATCGACACATCGGTGCGCTTCCTGCCGGCCCCCGTCGGCGGAGTTCTGGCCAACATCGTCGCCGGTCTCGTGGTCCACCGCGTCCGGGCAGACCTAGCGATTCTCATCGCCGTCGCCCTGGCGTGCTTGTCGCCGCTATTGATGGCGATCGCCGACCCCGCGTGGTCCTATTGGATCTGCGTCTTCTGGGCAATGTTTATGAACGCTATTGGCGCTGACACGTTATTCACAATCTCTAATCTGCTGATCACATCGCTGTTTCCGGCGAAGAAGCAGGCTGTGGCCGGAGGTGTATATAACGCCATTGCCCAAATCGGTAAAAGCGTAGGGCTGGCTTCATCGGGCGCCATTGCGAGTGCCGTGACCGCCCGGTCGACCCTCGCCGACAAGGAGAGCCCTATGGCGTTGTTGGAGGGTTACCGGGCGTCGTTTTGGTACTGCTTCGCGCTTTACGGCGCAACCTTGTTTGTGACGGTTTGGGGACTCAAAAAGATCGGCAAAGTGGGTGTCAAAAAGGAGTAAATAGGAAACCGAGAAAAGAGAGTTGGGGGAACCACCGGGGCAACGGGGGAAACGGGTCGATGAGTAACCCTCCCCGTTCCTCCACAGCCAGAAGCTTCTCGCGTTGCGAGATGACCAACAGAGTTTCGAGTGACGCAGCGGAAACTCTACTTGGCAGCGGACTTCTTATGCCAAGAGATGCCATCTCAATGCTTACCGAAGTGTGAAGAGAAAACCACGTCAACGCCGCTGAGAAAGGGATTCTGGACTTCCGCTCTAGTCGAAGCTTATGCTGCGGGGAGATTCCTAGGAATTTCTCGGTCGTTCGGGAGGGACGATCAGCGTCGTCGCGCAGCGCACTACGAGTTGACCTGCAATGCAAGGCCTGACTCAGCGGTCTGATATTTCAGCCGATTGCAGGACCCCGGGACCCGAGAATGTGGAAAAGGATCAAAAAGGGGTGAATCACATCAGTTGAGAATTATGTATGTTTCGCCCACCTCACGTGGAAACACTTAACGATGCTAAATAATAATGCACATTCGCTAGTCGGAATGCGTAGTTCCATCTGAAATTGAATCTCACATCGATGGGTCTAACATTTAAGTCTCATGCGCCAAACTTCGGTGGCTGCGAAGTGACGTCTACTCGGGGGCGACGGACTCGCAGTTTTGTTTAGCTCGCTGAAGAATCTGGCTCGACTTGTCAATTGCTCAACAACAACTGCGCTGGGTTATGGAAACCTAAACTCCGCATCACCGCGACAGAAACGATAAGCATCTCCTGGAACTAAGGGGGAAATTTCATGTCTTTATCAATCAACAATCCACAATCTACAAACTCCGGCACAAAATACCCACTGGCTGACACTCATCGGTACCTCGGGGACGGGAGTTCCGTTGGTGGAATGGGTATCCGTACTGCGTTACTGCGTAAGCTTCATTTCGGTGGGCTGTGAACAGTCGCAGCCCTGCCCAGCGTAAATCTCCCGTATGTCTGCCGGTGGCCCCATCCCGATGTGACGCCAGATTTACGAGCAACGCAGAGATGTACGGGTGGGCCTACGCTACAGAATCGTATGCTTGGCTGGGTGCCAGAGACAAAACGGCACCAAACTGGGAGCCACCATGATGCAATCGGAAAACAGCAGAGCGTCTCGACCACAGTTAGCCCATGTTCTGACCGTAAACGGCTTAACAAGCTTAGCAAAGCCTAGTTTCTGACTCGTCTCTAGGGCCGCAAGGTGGCTCTTGCACCCGAACTGGAAGAGTTGTCGAGCCTCTCGGGTTACTCCAAGTCCCCGAGTCGGGGACGGACTGTCATGGCAGACAACAGCCCGCCCGCTCCGCCATCCATGCTGGTGGAAACTCGGAAAGCCCAACATGCACTCCGTGCGCTAGGAACACGCTCGCTTTCTCCCCTAGCTTACACATCTTTTGCGCAACAGTTCGGGGTTAGAGTACTCACCCGGGAGAATGCCTTCATGTTTGGCAAGGGGTGACCTCATAGCTACCGGCCGGCCGGTCGGCGGGAGCACTGCGAACTCCGTACCAACTGGTCTCGGCCGTCTGCTAGAGTCGCACAACAAACTCAGTGCCCAGCTGGCTTGGCGGGATCACGGCTCTAGCTCGGTGGCCCCGGGAGGTTGGCCATGTCCGCAAGCGTACACCGTAGATCTGCTTCCACCATGGGTTCTTGATATAATATAGTCATCCGAAACCCATACATCCCAATCTTGTTTTCAGTCTTCATCGAATATTCCATACAGTCTGTGAGCATCTTACACATTGCAACATACTTTAGCAACACTTGAGCACCATCAACAATCAGGTGTGCAACTAATACCAACAACCATAATTTTAGCTCATCTGAGCTTCGCTCCTGGTCATCACATCTACAACCATGGAGGACAGAACAGCAACCAGAGGTAGCTACGGCACAACTACCTCTTCGGTCACAATGAACGGAGAACAACGAACATCATCTGAGCAGCCCACCGGCGGCTTTGCTCCCATTAACACAGGAAAGAATGGCGATTCCTCCGATGAAGAATATGGAGACGTTTCCAGCCCTACGAGAGATACCCACCGCGACACGATGATGATCGATGAGGAGGATAGGAGGGAACTTCAGAGAATCGCAACGAACCTCTCGCGGCATCAAAGTTTAGCCAGCAACGGCCGTCCACTTTCCACACATATCTCTTATGGCCAAGACGATCCCGCCTTGGACCCTGCAAGCAAATCTTTCGATCTTTCAAAATGGCTCCAGGCTTTCATGCGAGCCATGCAGAATGAGGGTATCACCCTCAAGCACGCTGGTGTTGCCTATAAGGATCTCAACGTTTCTGGTACTGGCGCTGCTTTGCAACTGCAACAGACCGTTGGTGACTTCCTTCAAGCACCCCTCAGAATCGGCGAGCACATTAGCTTCGGAAAAAAGGAGCCCAAGAGGATCCTCAACAGCTTCGATGGCTTGCTCAAGAGCGGCGAGCTTTTGATCGTTCTTGGTCGCCCTGGTTCCGGATGCAGTACTCTCCTGAAGACGATGACTGGTGAACTCCAGGGTCTGAGCATTGGAGACGAGTCTGTCATCCACTACAACGGCATTCCTCAGAAGAAGATGATGAAGGAGTTCAAGGGAGAGACCGTTTACAATCAGGAGGTTCGTTCCCAAATACTAATATTTTGTTTGATGTTCGCTAACAACGTTCAATCCAGGTTGACAAGCATTTCCCCCATCTTACCGTCGGTCAAACACTCGAATTCGCCGGCGCCGTTCGC